ACTAATGTGTTAACAGAAATTTACTGTATATTGTTTGTCATATCCTGATGAGTTGGGCTGTCAGTTCCTTTGCCACCCCCACTTAATGTAAACTAAATCTATATAGGTATATATAAACAGTAATCTGCATGAATCAAAAATCACGTTCGATTATATTTTGAATCGTCCAATCCGCCGTTCTACTATAAAAGCGATAATGACAAAATGTGGAAGGCGGTGCGATATTTTAATGGGCTCCCCGCCTGGTGTGTCAATCACGCGAGGGGGTGTCGGCACTGACCTTGTACGGTTTCAGCAGCGCTTCACGATACCGTGTACTTACAGTAAATCCATGGACAAAGTTTTAATTTAATAAAGTTATTAAAATAATAATTAATTAATAAAATAATATAAGAATAAGCAAAATTTTGAATTAAAATATAACAATAACAAATGCGTATATGTACAATAACAACCCGGCCCCATCTAGCTTCAGACTGTAGAGACCTACATACATACATTTTTTTTACATAAATACGAGTATCATAAATGTACTGGGGTATTATTTATTATTATATTGTATACTAGCTGTTACCCGTGACTTCGTACTCGTAGAATTTAACATTTTTATTATTAAACTATATTTTTAATAAAATTAGCTTAAGTTACTCCATATGACAGTGGCTCTGCGAATAAATGTCTTGTCAAAATAGGTCCACCCGTTTCAAAGTTTGACAAGAACAAACAGACATACAAACAATTTATTTTAATTAACATTTTGATGTAAGTACCGTATGCATACTTTCTTTAAAATTACAAACACTCCGCAATGGTCTTTATTAGTCTATATATACCTACAGATTTTATGTATTCTTTACTAATACTGTGGTCAAGAATGTAGTTTATGGTATAATATATTTTATGGACGTAATACCATATTCCTCATTGATCTTTGTTCTGTATTTCTGGTAAATTTCATCTAATGTAAATCGCTCTTGTACTTCAGGTGTAAAATTGCAACAAATACCTAAATATATAGGTACCTCCTTTGTTATTATATTATAAACACCTTAAACAGGCTTAAACAAAATCTACAAGCTGTATGCATCATATATCACAACTGATGGGATATAAATAAAATACAAATAGTTTTATAAAGTAAAGAATAAATAAATTATTATGTTTACACTACTCTAACCTAGGCGGTGCGGTGGCGGTGAATTATAGCGTTTTTTAAATCAAACGTTCCTTTATTTTGCTGTAACATATACCTATTATATATTGATACCTACATCTCTATCTCTAATTTATGAAAAACTGTGTCTATCTAGATACAGTTTTTCATAAATGGAAAAGTATATCTATCTATCTTTTTGTTACCTTTAATAGCTCGTAATCAAATTTGACATAAAGATAGGTTTTCACAACATCAAGGACAGACACGGGCTATATTTTCTTGAATATAGACTTTATTAAAAAAATTTACTAAATCACAATTAACCATTATAATTATAACATTCCTTGTACAATAATGACAAATATCTTATATACTTCAACTGAACAATGAACAAATAACCTTACGTGTATTATAGATATTAAATAATTTGGAAATTTCTGAAGCGTGCACTTCTAGCAACCAACCTTCGTCAATATGCATAAGAAATGAGGTCGTTAGGCCGATTCCGGCTGGTCAAGGTCTGCCGTTACATTTCCATAAACTGCGGAGATCCATTGTAATTAACGTAGGTAATATTAAAATGAAAATAAAAAGAATGAGTACTTAAACAATACAATAATTTTCATAAGTAGATATTGTTCGATTAGGAAATATGGTACATTACTGAGCAACCGTTTCTCTTTGTTCAATATTCACTATGACATAACTATTAATTATCGGATTGCTAATTTTCTAAAATACAAAAATCACTTACAAAAAACAGTTCTTCTATCTACTATACTTATGTGGAAAAGTGATACTGATATGTAAGATAATAAGGTTGATTGTAATATGCTCACGATTTGCCACAAATCACTACAAAACAAGCAAAATTTCAGTTCACTTATTTTAATGCCCAAACAGCTTGCTTTGTAAGCTTCCAGTTTGGGTCATCCGCAGATATTTACGGGCCGCTGGGTACGGACCGCTGGGTACGGACCTGGAGTATATGCTCACGTCATACATTTACGCCTATTAGTGAAATTGGAAGCTGGAATTTTGTAAGTTGTGTTTGACGGAGATAAGACAATTGAATTACGGATAAGTGGCATGACATCTAAGCTCTCCAGAAAGGCTACGGATGAGTGGAACCACGGGCGTCACGTGACCGCGTGATGTTTCTGGTACTTTTTATATAAATAATCTACTATGAAAATGTAAGTTACAAAGTATTATCACTTCACTATTTTATATATTTTGTTAAAAGTTTACATCATCATTACATAGTATGAAACAAAGTCGCTGTAGCTGTCTGTCCCTATGTATTCTTAAGTCTTTAAAACTACGCAACGGATATTGAAGTGGTTTTTTAATAGATAGAGTGATTCAAGAGAAAGATTTACATGTACACCCATGCGAAGTCGGGGCCAGTAGCTAGTTAAGTTATAATTTCCCAATGTCAAAATGTTTTCAATGAGACGTTGACTTTAAGAAAATAATTTAAATTCAAAAATCATTTATTTATGTACCTATAATATTTTAGCCGCTTATGTCTATAACGTCAAATATAGATCCAATTGCGAAGAACTGGCAATCAACTCTATTGAATTACTTAACTAAATTTGTTGACAATATTATGATAGTGCTTCTTAGTAACTGTAAATTAATTTTAAACCTTTCGTGATTATACAATTGCATCGTAAATATTACAGTTTATTTTTTTTACTTTCACATAAAGAATAAGAAAAGAATGGTTTTAGGTTTTAAATGTAAGTGTGCGTACGTTTATACTTTAAACATAGAAGTGTGTCTGGGATATGACTTTTAACTTTTTTTAACGTTTAATGTTTTATTTATAACTTTTAAAAACATATAGTAGAGCAAATTATGAAAGCTCAACTATATTACGATATGTAATTGCATACAGCTTTAAACCCATTACATAATTATGATATAAACATTGAATAACGAATTAGGTGTATACCTGTATACATATTTAAAGTCAACTGAACAATAAACGAAGGCTACCTAGGTCACGAGCCATCCTGTAAATTGACTGAACATTGTCGCAAAGCAAACAGAGTGCGTAAATATATATCAACGTGTTATCTACACATTGTCGGTAATCATTCATTGTGATAAGTGATAGTTAGATTTATCATTATAATGTTAAATCAAATTTCAATTTTAGAATCATTTACGGCTGCTAAAATTTTCTTTTAAACTATTTGCGGCATATTGCCATACTAATAGGCAAACAAACAAATAGTAATAAATATTTACAAGCACAGTCATATTTGCTTGTAAATTTATATTTTATAATCTTAAAACATTAGGTTCTACTAGAGTCCACAAGAGAGACTGCAATATAGAGTCCTGAGCGACTTTATAATCATGTTATGGTAGGTATATGTAATTTAAGTTAAAAATGACACAGATAAAAAAGTACAGTTGAAAGAAAATTAATATTTTTGAACAATAATTATTCTATAAGAATAAATTATTTCAATATAACTTCATATTCCATACTCAACTTCAACTCAAAAGGTTTCTAGAGCTGTTGAAGATAGTAAAATGGTAAATGGTTAAAGTAAAATGGTCGAAATTAATTTATACTTAATATTTTATTTACATTTTACTAGTAGTAGCAACATTGTCATAAAAATATTATCAATATAAAATTACGCCTTCCTTAATGTTTTAGCGACCGAAGTCCCGAGCCCGCTTGGAGATTGACGTGATGTTCTCTTTACTTGATATCTACTTCCATCGTTTTGTATTTTTTTAGAAAATTACTTATGGGTGCTTATGTATGATAGAGAATAAAATTTATTATATTTACTTTCATAGCATATTTATAGTGCACAAAAGTATCTCGATACCAACACAGGAAGTTTAAATAATAAAATGAAAGTTAAGAGAAGGTCGGCTTTTCATTAAGGTGACTCGAGTGAGCCGCCTCTACCGCCAGTCAATGTGACCTTGCCGGAAGTGTCTGCTGAATGAATAATGGAAACATGCTATTAGCTACCTTTCAACCAAATTTTCCAACAATTACACCTTTCTATAGTGTATCGACTATGGAACATATCATTAAAAGCGCTTCTTTTCTTTGTACCTAAAAGATAATATTTCGTCGTGGTATGTAGGTAGATATATTATAAGTTTAATGTATTTGCTTATAATTTTACCGGTTATTTCAGTGCGTAAATACTCTCAAAGAATATCGACGAATACTAGAATTACCTTTAAATAAATGCAAACATCTGTTAAATCATATTTACTGAGAAAAACCTATTACTCACTAAACGATTACATGAATGACGAGCATGGCAATAGTGGTTCAAGCACGGGATTTTCATTTTAATGTTAGACTCTACATAAGTACACAATTTAAATAAACTGGCTTTAAAAATAAGAAACTTTATAAGGTTTTTTGCCGTTTCTTCTCAATTGAATGTGTATACTGTACTGGGGTAGGTTAGGTAAGTTAAAAAAAATTATAATATAAAAAAAATTAGCTCATAAACGGCAAAAATGTTCTACAAGAAAAAAATATTTGTGATTTTGATGAATGGGAAATTAATTGCATAGAAATTCTATCATAATAATGCCAAATAAAATATTCATTGAAAATTGATAATGCTTATTTTTATTTTACTTTTATTTGGCCACTAATCCTGCGTACGTTAGTTCAAATTGTCCAAACTCATAATAGATAAGTTTTTATATACCAACCTGCGTTTAGATTTAACGTAACCTAGAGTAGGTAATGCATTACATTATTATCCACATATCTATTAAACTTACCAAGTTATTTCTCCCCAACAAGGTTGAATTATCAAAACAGAAGATTGGTACATACTTCGTGTGACTGATGTTCACTCTCGGCGATGCTCGTAAAGAGGTGGTTCAAGGCACGCGACATGAGGCCCGTCATGGTATGAGTCTTGCCAGCACCTGTTGCCCCATATGCAAACACAGCCCCAGCAAAACCACGAAGAGTGTCCCCCACTAATGGCGCACAAACAGTGTCGTAAACGTCCTCCTGAAAAAAAAAGTACTTATTAACTCAATATAAAGAATATGCATTACCCTATATTTATATACTTTATTTTTTATTTACTTTACCAAGGGGAAACTACGGTCTTAAGAATCAATCAAAATAATAGGTTTGCACATACTTATTTATACATCCACGACATACAATTTTTTTGTTTTGTTTGAGAAATTAGTATTATTAATTTTATATCTTTATGATATATTTGATGCATGTAACTGTGCATCAACGTTGAAACAAAGAAATATCAGAAAAATCCTAAAAACATTTCTTTTACTATGCGGGCATCGAACGTCGTATTTATTATATATATATATATACAGCATCGTCCTAATTAAAACAGTACTAAACCGACCGAGGTCGTCAATAATTGAATACTCAACAATGGCATGTATGTGGTATGTACGACATACTTGAGTACTATCCTCGCCAAAAACTCGATCATACACGTAGTGTTTGTCGTTAAGCCGCCGCTGTCGCAGAACGTCACGCCGACTGTCTGCCTCCTCTTCTAAAACCAGCATCTATACAACATACAATATAATATATTATTATTTATCAATATGTTAAATATTAGTTCATGGATTTGAGATCTAAATTTATCTATCTTTTAAGTGATTTTTGAAGCTGTGGTAACAAATAAACAAACAAACATATAATGACTTTTAATCGGCGTTATAGGACAGTGCATTCTCCTGCGCTAACGGTACCTATATACGTTGACGGGGCCACAGTGGAGTATAAAATGAGCTTGGGGTTAGGTGACAAATTCACGATGGGGGTCGACTTTGCATGGCACATTGCTAGCACTGTAGTCCCCATTGCTAATGATCCCTTTCCCTTATAAACAAAGATGCAACTACCTACCTATTTATAATGATAGTGATCTACATTATAATTTTGTAAAGAAGATGGAGTTCACTGTTACAAATCCACAATTTTATCTGGATAAGTACCTAAGTCTTGACAGTTATATGACAGTTATTATCTACGTTAATAAATAATAGCTTGATATAACTTCGTTTAATATTCTGTTGTGTCGATGCTGTTTCCTCACTCTACTTAATATAAAAGAATTGACTATACTTTCCTAATAATTTTACATGTTTTAGTTTTGTTGTAAGGACAATGTATTCTCTCTTGACCAAAAAAAAATAAACCTACCTATATGTACATCATGTACATGTATACAGCCAATGACCTAAGTAGTAGATTTGAATTCAGTGGAACAACTATAATGCGCAAACAGCAACTCATGCCTTTAGTTTGTACTTAGAATGTTTTGTAGGACTATTTATTCTACTATTATAATTATCCATCGAGTTCGATAAGTTCGTACCACATATTCGCACCTTCCATAAAAACTTATGTAATTTTAAAGACATTCACACATTCACATTAATAGTGATTTTATTGGTTGCAGTTTTGTCTTATTACTGAATTTTTATAAATCCAAACATTGATAATGCTTTTTCACAATCGCTTATGCTGTTACTTTACTTAAAACTTACAGTAGGTTCAAGAGATAAGTCGGTACGAATAAAAATTCAAAATCCTCTAAAAATATTCTATATAACGGTACAATTTATCGATAAAAAAAAACTTATTCGTTTTCGTTTATTCGTTACATAATTAATGCAGGTGTATTAATATGCGCTTACAAAGAAAATGTGTACCAAAATAAATAAATATTATACTCTGTAACCTTATCGCTGACCACGTGGACGATCCGAGGACCTTCATCGGCGCGCAGCGGTCGCACGCGCACCGCCACCTGTCACACAAACATGTAGGTATTAAAATCAATAAATACCCAGATTTTTATTGAAAATATTTATAAAAATATAATCATCGTTGTATAATATTCTTAGTTTATTTATCCACTACCAAATTATTTATTAGTACGTAGATACTTAGATAGATACCTAATACTAATTGTGTCACTTTTTCTACCGCTGTTCGACATACATAGACCGTATAAGCTACAAGGTCAATAAAGGTTATTCAACAATCTCCTATCTTATAACTACTGATTATAAAAAGTCTTAAACTTCTAATCTTAAGCTATTCCTACGTCAGAAAATTAAAGAAGTTTATTGCCTGAACGATTCTTTGGCTGCTGTAAGACATTGAATGGCTACATAGGTGACTTTGTATATGATGTATTTGAATTTAAAATAAATCTGTATTATTGTAAACATGTATAACTTTTATTTGAAAAGAATACGAGCTGAGTTTCTTGTCAGTTCTTCTCGAAATCATTCCGAACTGACGGTAGATTTGACATATCATAAGAGTCTGTAATAGACCTACATGAATAATGATATTTTGAATTTGAACTTTTACACAATAACGAACGTAGGACTTCAAAAATTAAATTATGTATTTTTCATGATATATCATTTTATTAAGATATTATGAAGTAAAATGTTCTAAGAAAATAAAATAGGTACATACAAGTATATATACTAATATATCTACACGTATACATACAAAAGAATGGTTATGAAAAATAGTCGCAACAAATCCTAATTGGCAATGATCAATACAAATCCAATTTAATTGAAACAATGTTTTTAATGTCAACCAATTTATTTACGTTACACAATTTTGATAGTATATGAGCCCTGTGGTATCTAATTATAAAGCTATTTCTCAGTTTTTCAAACAATACTAGATAACAACGGTTGGGAATATCGTTTAAAATAAGTAGGTTCTTCTCTACATATACGTAAGTAGGTAAATACGTACCGTGAGAGCTTAGCGTCAAGAACGAGACTTTGGAAGGGACTTTGACTAGGGAGTCGAATATATTTCTAACTAATACCCTAATAGCAACAAATTGTAGTGTCGAATTTAGACATGATATCAGACAGTACAGTTCGGAGGAGCTTCCTCTCGCGTACGCTTGGATTATGAACTACCTACCGAGGTTTTCTCCAGGTGGGCATGGGGATATAAAGGGTATATAAAGTTTTCTTAAAGGTCGGCAACGTGCACGTGACTCCCATGGTGTTTCAGGCATCCATAGGCTACGATAACCGTTTACTGTAGATGAGCCGTATGCTTGTTTGCCACCATCGTAGAATTAAAAAAAAAAGACCTAAACCTAAAAAGTTACTTCAATTTATATATCATAAAGCCATTTAGCTTTCCAGTGAATGAAACACCGACATCAAACCAAAATTTTATCCTAGAGACTGCAGTAGGCTTCCTGTTGGATTCAAATATATCCAGCAAATTGTATGCATATCATGGCAGGCATGTGTTGCGTTCACCTCAACATCAATAGTTGACAATGATGCAATATTGATAGTCTACCCCCTACGGGATAGCATTGTGACGGTACTTTACCTAGGTGTAGATTATTTTTTAAACTTATTGTGTACTTATATACTATTATGACAATAATTCTATTTCGGTCGCTGTATATAACATATATGTAGTGACTGTACGTATATAGGTAACTATATGACTATTTATTTACACTATGCATCGACTGCAGCTGTGCATAACGTTCTATTTCTATACGAGATATTTTTATGCTAAAACAGTTCCCTGTTAACATACTACAAAGTCGCTAGCCAACGGTCAAGGCCTCTATACTACTTCCTATATACACAAGGCAAACTTAGGGAGGTAGATACTTAAATTCTGTCGTATCGTGACCATTACAAATGCTTATATAGATAGAGCTTATATGATTTTTATGCATTGTGATTACAAAATTCTTATTCTGCTTATATAGAACCACTATCCACCTACTTTTGCCTCATAACGTTCCAAAATTTTTTCCCTTATTCATACCATTCGCCATATAAAATAAATTCATTGACACACCTCTAAACCAAAATGTATGCATACATGCGATTTCAGAGGAGTTTCCTAATGCATTCGCTTGTAGAATTAGTTCCTGCCGAGGCTTTCGGACAAGACTTCCTGCATACAACTTAAGATAATAATGCAACGAGCAAGTGACATGTCTAATATTCTAAGTCATGCTATTCCTTGTAATCTCACTAATCTCTTACCATCTGGTTGATTGACGCCGTCGTATACCTACATACAACCTGTTCTCAGACTCTCGAGTGAAAATTAAATACCAACATAGATATATACTATATGCCGATTGCCTATAAATTTGTTATTTAAAACATATATTGTATGTATTCATACATACGAGTATAAAGTACAGAGTTACTGTATCCAAAAAATCTTTAAATCTTTCTTAAACCTATACGACAACAATTTTAAATTAGTAGTACCTAGTACCTACCTATATGACCACTGCATTGTCATTATTTATAATAAGTGCAATATATACACTGACAGTATAAAAGTATATTCACCGCATTGCATCGCGTGTTTTCATAGATAGACAAACAGGCACCAGCTACGCAATAATGATAAATCTATAAATTGATAAGAGCCCTTTTTCCATCATTTTAGTGATAACAGTATGCTGTATTTCTATTTTCTATCTAATTTGTTAATATACGGCGTCAAACGTTTAATAATTATTATTTACATGTAAATTTTAGGTATATCCGAGATGAGCAAGTTAGATAAATTATCGACTGTCGTCATCATTGGGAACGTAATACTAGACATGCCCACATTCTTTAAGTATCCAATTTAGAAAGTAAATCTACCGTCGTCACTCGGATTTCGATGTTTCGATCGCATGAAAAAAAAATACAAATCGACACAAAAAGATGTTTACATCAGGCACATTCCTTAAGCTAGCTATACGGGTATCCAAAATAAATCATACATCGGAAAGATAAATGACTACGCCAAGACATTTTCAAAAATATATAATTTGCGATGTTTGGGCTCAGTTTAGGATAGCAATCACCTAACCTACTAAAATGTATGATTACGTCAATCTTATCATTGTAACGATAACTGAAATTTAATGATAGAAGCATTAACTGTAATTCACAGGATATGTTGTTTATTGCGTAATTTCATCATGAAACTAGTGGAATTTTTTATCTCAATTTTTAGTTTAGTTTTCATTAATCAGTAAAGTACCCACCATCAACTTTTCTTCGGTAACGGTGCGTACACCACCATGGTGTTTATCCGGAGTGGTTAGATTGCTCTGAGTCATTGCATATCTCCTCTAAACGGATTCTAGAATAGCACTGATAAGAATAAGTTCCCTCGTTCACATTCAAACTATTTGACGTTATTCGGTACCATACGAATACCCACAACAATCTATATTATTTTAAAAGTAATCAATCATACAGAATTATTCGTTCTAGAGGCAATTTAGGTTATAACATATATGACGACAATTCATTAATCGTATGGCATGATAATTGCAGAGGCACGGGTCAGGCGGTTTCCACCCTTGCAACTTCACGTGGACTGAGCGCTGATCAAAATACAACCTTCGGTTTGTATGGTTGCTAGGGCAACAAACAATCACTACAAATAAAGTTAGTATCAGTATGATGGTCGACTGTACTCAAAAAATAACTCAAATGGTATGTAAGTGTTACTGATCCACTAATAGGCAAGAGATTGTTGGTAATGGGATCTAACGACTCCATTGCTAACAATGTACTATGCATCTATTTCTGTTGGCCTCCACGCGATTTCATATAGAAACCATCGTAGTTAATTCTGGAGGATTCTATAGATCTATGAAATTACTGATAGATATCTTTTTTTACACTACGACTGTTACCGTCTATACCTACATGGTTGAAACATAAGTGCGCTTTGCCGGCCCTTAAGAAAGTATATAGGGTATATATAACTAGGGTATATTGAAAAACCTCAAGCTATAGTATCTAGAGAAAACTTCGGCAGGTACCTACATTTCACAATCTAAGTGTACTCGGGAAATCCTCTGAAACCGCACTGTCCGAAACCACTTAGGTCCAAGGTAATTCAGGGTTCGATGTATTTCTTTTTGAAAATGTTACGCGATAATTATATTAATTTCAGATCTAATTTTACGATTCTGTTGTAATCAACAATGTTTATACTTTACATAAGTTCCATAAACAATAATTTTGTTGAGTAACATCATTCTTTATGGAATATCTATTTATTGTTTCTAATGCCACACAATGCATTTTTTAATAATTAGAGAGAAGACTGTAGCGTACTGGTTATATACCACAACTTAAACCAGTCGTAATTACGAATCTGGTCGACAATTTATATTACTGACTGGTGATTGAAACAACGACAACAAAACCCTTGCAATAACCAGTGAAATACGGGCATACCAAGTGTAGCATTTACAATGATGCCTCACTGTCATTGACTATAGACTATCTACCCCATCTGGAATAACAGTCATAAAGGTATATTAGTATTAATCAGATTTTGAAGAGAAAATGTAATAATTATAACTTAAAAAAAAGTAAGTACATCTTTCATGGGACATTGTATACGTTTTTATAATAAATTGCCCGATAATGTTTTGAATTTAAATGAAAGGAAATTTAAGATACATGTAAAAAATACACTTTGCGCTAAAGCTTATTATAAAATAAACGACTACTTGAATGACTACAATGCGTGGACTTAATTACTATATCTTATTGTAAATTTAGTAATGACATATTGTAATTTAAATAATGTAAATTAAATATTGTAATGGGTGAAAACTGTGATTGGTACAGTTTATGCTGTAAATAATATAAATGACGTAGTGGAGTAACTTGAAACAGTCATGCTCGCTATAAAGTTCAAACTTGTGGCGGCGTGGTGGGCCGGGTCGATGTGCTCCCTCCATTATGGTTGAGTGCAATGATGGCTGGCTCATCCGTCATACTCGTGTACGGGTGCTGCTTGTGGGGACTGGTCTGTTCAGGTTGCGAACACTGATTAGATTTTTTGATTTTTTTTATATAGCATATGCTGGTGGTCACTCTATTCTCCCAAATTTGAATTTAAATGAAATAGTATTATTGTAAATGTGTACAACATTAAAAAAAAATACGAGCTGAGTTTCTTGTCAGTTCTTCTCACCTCGAAATCATTCCGAACTGACTGTAGATTTGACATATCATAAGAGTCTGTAATAGACCTACATGAATAAAGATATTTGAATTTGAATTTGAAAACAATATATTCTTGTGATTAAAGACATTGTTGCAAATTTGTACAAACTAACTAAATACAAAACAACATAAAGACCTGAGCTTTGCATGGGTGCAATGCAAATGTTTAAGTTGCTCTGCTTTTCTGTGCTATAATATCAATGTTTTATAAAAAAATTATTAACATTGATATTTAATCACTCTATCTATTGCTGAAAACTGCATTAGAATCCGTTCCATAGTTTAAAAGTTCTACAGATAGAGGCATATACTTTGTTTTATACTGTGTAAAAATATTTTTATATAAGATTAGGTTAAAAATTATACATTCTATGAAATTTTGTAATATTTATATTCAATTTATACAGTGCCAGGAGCAAATAACTTAACACCTCTATCAAATAATTTAAACAAATAATGAGATGCTTTCAATTCCATGGTATACATGTGTTTGATGTTAAATTTTTGTCCAATATATTTTATTGTCAGATGACCTGTAGCATCAGCACTCCAACCTGACTTTAAACTTTCTACTTCTAATAGAATGTGTGCCTTGTGGGATAATAGATTGGCCATTACATTTGTAACATCATCATCACTGGCAACATTACAATGAAACAATATAAATGAACTATACTTTCTAGAAAGGTTCACAAGTTCATTACACATATGATTAACTGATTTTAAATTGAAATCCATATCAAATAAATGGGACACACCATCCAAAATTATATTAACTTTGTCATATTTCTCTGTAATTTTGAGTATTCTCTCATTCAGTTTTGAAATTAGATATTGTATGGAGTTATTGTCCTTCTTTAACAATATGTTAATACATTCTTCACCTAAATCAAAAAATGATATAAGCCCTAACTCCATGTGCCCCTCCAAATTGTAATTCATCTTAGAACCAACATATTGATAATGTGCCATTGAATCATGTGTTGAAATAAGTATAACAGCATTTCTGTTCTTGATACAGTGGCCAAGGACACAGCTTATGATAAAAGAACTGTCACAGTTGTTTATCTCCTTCGCTACAATAACACTCCCTAATGTCTCTCTCTCTAGATGAAGAGCTGCTATGATATCTGACGACATTCTGAAATAAAATTATAATTAAACAAATAAAAATATATATAAAATATACTAAATTCGTCAACTTACTGTCGAGTATCTAATTGTTTGTATATTAAAGAAGTAAATATATAATTAAAAAGTAAATGATGTAAGTAACCAATAAGCGTCATCCAATTATTATTGCCGTTGATTTTACGTTTACTTTTGTAGTTTCGGTATTCGGTCGTACATAAATGGGAGATAAAATCATTCGCACTCGCGCCAGCAGCGTGCGTTGACTTTTACGAACAGCGCATGATTTATTACATAGAGAAATATATAATACATATAAAATATATTAACAGTAATTAATTATTCTTAATTACGAGACAATTTTTTAAAGTATTCACTATATTTTGTGTTGTGTATGGATTTATTATTAGGACTTTTAAAACACGTAAGTCTTATATCTACGTAAGTAGTTTTAACATTTCTAATAATTTAGTTTACATTACTTATAATTATATGTACTTGTTGTGTTGATATAAAAGAAACATTCTACTCGTCCTACAACTTTCCTGAAGGTTATCATAATCGATCTTTAAAGAGTAGTTATTTTATTTTGGTAGTTATATTATTTACTTTAGGCCCATTCATTCATCAATATACTTATTGAATATGTGAAATGATTCCATAGAAAATTGACAATCTCACACTAATTATCTAATTTATTTACTATTACTGCACTTTAATAATTTATACGAAGTTACCTAATTATTTATTTGTCAGGTTGGAGATTCTTATTACTAACTTTACTACTTCAGTTATTCTGTTCTATACACATTGGATTTCATTGGATTGGTGTTCTGTGATATACATATTATTTTTAATATATTTAACGGATCTGGATACAAGTTCTTTTAAGCCTAAAGTTTAAGAAAAGAGGTTTTTGTGTTACGAATTCTGTAATGCTGTAATCATCTCAGTGTCATCCCTAAATTTAAAAAAAAATCCTCCCAAGATGACAAGTCTATTAGTATTACTAGCACAGACTTAAGGACCTTAAAATCAAATCAAAACTGTACATTTTTGTCACATATGTTTTGATATTTCGTTACGTTCCTAATTATTTCTGGTGTAGGCATAACTCAATACGTATTTTTATTAATATTTTATACAAACCTAAAAAGAAATATCTAAACGTAAAAATGGTAACACTGATAAAATACTGTCAAATTACGATTGTCACCTCATCAATACTGCGAGTACTAGATCTACACTGGGATCTCTCAATTTAGTTCGTAGCTCGCAGTTCTCTGAGTTCTCTCTTGTTCGCTGCTAACTGGAATCATAGTAAGGAAGTAGGCTAATCAACTTTGAAACCTATAAGAATTTTTCGCCGCAATTAAGTTCTTATTAAACTAAATAAGAACTTAATTAACAAGCTTTTTACCAAACGAACTAAAGTCTTTCGGAGCGCTCTTCCGAACTAGTTCGTCGGCGAACTACACAAACGTACTGTTGTTTTCTATTTCAATTTTTTTTTTTTTTTTTGGTTCTGTTTTTCTAGCCCATACAGCCATTGTCTTGTAATATTTTCGTATTTTTTTTTTTTTTTAATACTTGTCTTCAGTAGTTATATATCTTGAAATGTTGATATTATACTCGAAAATGGGTTTGTATGTTTCTGTGTTCTTTTAAAGATGATTTTTAAATAAATTACTCTTAACGAAGGTAAAAAATATATCTAAATAATAATAGTATACTTGTTTTATTTAAGAATTTATTGTATGTCTTAAAAAGGATTTACTTTAGAAAACAACACAGAATATTAATTTTTTGCCCTTTATATGGTTACAGAATAATGTCTAAAGCAAACGAAGTAAGGGTATCCCAATGGTATTTTGGGGGATTGGCTTCAGCAGGTGCCGCATGCATAACTCATCCTCTGGACCTACTCAAAGTACAAATGCAAACACAACAGGGAAAAAATATTTCAATGATTAAACTCACTGGAGTTGTGATAAAAAATCAAGGTGAGAATTCTCATGGAAGTCCAGCTCAGGTAGAATTTTATTTGTGGCTTTATTTGTAAAATTACTCTTTTGTTATTATTTAAACTATTAGAACAATTTCTAGCTAGTCTTCTTTTCATGTATAGCTAGAGACATTAGATACTTTTGTCTTTATTATTTATACTAAACCACCAACTTTAATAATTAGAGAATTTTTATACATGACATAACACAATCTGATCTCTAATTAATGGTCTGCACAAGGCAGAAAATAAAGCATTAACATTTTTAGTCAAAAATATAGATAAATGCTGGAGTTTTATAAAAATGTTAATTCTACATATTTTAAAGCTATACTGTACACTTTACAAAATTCACTGTATAAAGGCCAATGTTAGAATGTGAAAAGCTTATCCTCTTTAAGGTGACAAGTAAACAAGTACCTGATGTCCATTCTATTCTAGCTAAGCTTATTTTCTACACTTTCTACTTAAATAAAAATATAAACTAAATTTCTTTTTTTATGGATGATGATGTAATATGGTCTGTATACAACTAATAATTAGTTCAGTATTTAGTTTGGATTTAGTCAATTATTAATAATAATATTTCAGGTGTATTGGGACTATATAATGGGATATCAGCATCTTTATTAAGACAGCTCACATATTCAACGGCTAGATTTGGTATATATGAAATGGCAAAACAGCAATTTGCACCCAAGGATGTAAGTTTGTGATATAACTAATATATCTATCATATTACTTTCATTAGAAAAGAATCATGATAGTGCTTGGTTTTGATGTAATGAAAATAAAAAAATATTTAAAGAAAATGTAACAGTATATACTTTATTATTAGCAACTTGTTTTATCTTTCTATACTAGAATTATAAAGTATAGATATTTAATATACACGACATACTGACAAATTACTAAGCCATAACTTGCTGAAACCAAGTTTGAATAGTATATATACATATTTTTATTACAAGTCTTTGTGTGTCAAACTTGGAATATTGCTTATATTATGTATTTTAGAGACACATACTTTTTGGAAAACAATGTTGAAGAAAATTGTTGGCAATTGATAAATAATAATCTATAAAATTTGTATTCAATCTACAAATTGTCACACAAAGACATGTTTACACACAAAACTAAGCACTGTACAAATAGTGATATGATTTGGATAATTGAACATAAATTTATTTCAGGGAAGCGCTATACCATTTTATATGTCTGCATTCTTGGCAGGCTTAGGTGGATTTGCTGGAGGGTTTGTAGGGAACCCAGCTGATTTAGTCAATGTACGAATGCAAAATGATGTTAAGTTACCTCCTGAACAAAGAAGAAAGTAAGTAAAGTAAAATTTGTAAATAAATGTATACTAAACATAAATAATACACAGAAAGAATCATATTCACTAAATCTGGCAATAATAATAAAAACTTGTATTTTTATAAATAGATTTTATTAGTTTTCATTCAAGGCTGTATTTTTATTATATATTTTTTCATTTTATTTTACACTATAAAAGTAATATTTTCTATTGGCAAGCCAAGAGATATTATAAACTTTAATATATATACTACATACATAATACTATAAATATATATTTACCTCTATAGGTGAATTATATTATAATATTATTAAGTACATATTTATTTTGGCCTTAATTTAGCTACAAAAATGCCCTACATGGTCTTTGGCGAGTAGCTGCCAGTGAGGGTGTGGTCCGCTTGTGGGCTGGCGCCACGATGACTTGCAGTCGGGCTGTGCTCATGACTATTGGTCAACTCTCCTTCTATGATCAAATCAAGGCTATACTGCTTAACAGCCCATATTTTGAAGATAATGTTATTACACATGTAACCTCAAGTTTACTAGCTGTAAGTATATTAATGTTATTGATTATTTGTATCTACTATATATTTTTACTAGCTACTCGCTAAGGCTTCGCATGGGTGTACATGTATTATATGTAAATCTTCCTCTTGAATCACTCTATCTATTAAAAAAAACCACTTCAAAATCCGTTGCGTAGTTTTAAAGATTTAAACATACATAGGCACAGACAGCAACAGCGACTTTGTTTTGTACTATGTAATAATGATTTTAATAGGTGATGATGGTGTACCCAACTGCGTTAATGGTTTATGCTGGCTATCAGTGGAGGATGAGGTCAGTTCAGTTCACCCATCATGATATTTCACCAGGAATTTATCATGATGGTTTCCAGATGAAACATGTAGCGTGGACGTCAACATGCCATGGAATACATTGCTATGTACATTGTATATATGTAGGTATGGGTTTAACAGTCCACATTACTAACAACCCCTTTTCCCGCAAAGTATTTGAAGATTCTTATGTAAGAAAAAGTAAGAAAGTTGCGCGGCCCATTAATTTAAAAAAAAGTTAACATCCTTAAGTTTTCTTTAATAATTGCATCTGTAATGTTGTCTGTTTTGTAATATTTGCATTACAAGATAGAATTATAGACTGTTTGTTACATCTTAATGAAATATGAAGATGGATTGTGTCATGAGGACAAACACAGTACTCTTTTATTTTAGAAAAAGCAGACGAAGTCAGGGGTAGCAGGGTATTATATAATTTATGCTTTATATTTATAGGTACTATTATACATCATCTTACACATGTGTTATGTGTATCAAGTATTTTTATTTCTTTATATAGCTACAGTTTCACATTATGCATTTACAGGGCGCTATAGCAACGACATTAACACAACCTGTAGATGTTCTGAAAACCAGAGCAATGAATGCCAAACCCGGTGAGGTAACAAGTATGCTGCAACTCATCAAAAGCACTGCTAAAGAAAATCCTTTAGCATTCTTTAAAGGTTACATTCCAGCCTTTGCGAGGCTTGCACCCCACACAATACTCACTTTTGTGTTTTTAGAACAACTAAGAATTAATTTTGGCAAAGTTAAAAAGGAACAGTAGCTACTTTTAACTGAATAAGTAGTTACAAACCAACATTACTTCATTAGATGTTTATTTTTGTTATAGATATACATCCGAATTTTAAGCAATGTACTACAAGTACTAAGTGGGTATTATTAATATTGGTTGTTTCCTGGTCATACCATATTTTGTATTATTTTTGCAGTACATTTAATATTTTTGTATATTAATTTTATAACATACCTAATTATTATCGTATTTAATGATACATCTTATTTTAAAGTAAATTTTATTTTATATGCCATATATTTTCGTATTATGATGAAAATAGGATTATAATCACTAATCTCAGGAATCGCTAATTTATTTATCGCCTATTAAGAATATTTAAGCTAAAGCAAATATATAAAATATTATAGAGCTTATATACTTATGAATTTTTATATTAACATATCTTATGTAAATGATAAGAAAATATGTAAAAGACTGTCTATAAGATTAAAGCAGTATTCCTAAAAGTGTCCATAAAATCCATAAATGGAGTTCTTAATTGGATATAAAAAAATATCCAAAGTCAGTTCTACAAGCACTGGTGATTAAGTTTTTTTTATACTTGTACCTATAAGTTATATCTTGTTGTTTCACATTCCTATCGAGACATGATAATGTTGTAATAATTAAGTGTCACACTAATGTAATATAAACCTATAATGGGGCTATTAATAAATGTTACGTCAATTTCACATTGTGATTAAATAAACAGAAATTAACCACGATAGTTTCCAGGGGAACTGTGTGGAGGTCAACTTGACATGGTACATTGCTAGCAATAGGATCATCAGTCCACATCACTAACAATCCGCTTTTCCCCCTATAGATGGCGGTTATCACTTACCATCAGATGGCAAGTTAGCATGTTTGCCATTCCAATCATCTTTGTAGTAGTAACAAGTGGGACAGAGATAGGAAGTATGGGGTTAGACAGAGAAGATTGAAAGTCAATTAATTTTCTACATAATATAACTTCAAGTTTTCAACTATACCAGTACAATGTTTATTTCGTAATATTAAAAATTAAGTGTTATGATATCTGATAGCACATAATCGAATATTAGAAATTTTAAAGTTATTCTATACAAATGGAACAGAACCAAGATATATACATATCCTAGTTCACATAGACAAATTTAACATGGTACATTCAGGTACTGTACTTTGTTTTACTTTATTTATTTGGGAGCTTAAGACAATAATAGTCAGTAATTGTTTGTGTAACTGTGCATGCAACTATTCAAATTTCCTTGCACTTACTAAATTCTACATGATTATACATCGCAACAAAATCAGACCGATCATTTCCTGAAGTAATAAACCATTTCATAGAATAGTTTCTAATATTATGATTCTGGAAATACATCACATTAATATATATAATTTGAAATAAACACTAAGATGGCTATGAATAACATCCGTTGTCGCATTTTAAATAGCCTCATTTATAAATGATATCTCACAGGAGAATAATTTACGATCATATCGTAAATTATTCTCCTATACATATTTATTAATTACTCATATATTCCATATACCGAAATTACAAAAAAAAATGTACTATGTGAATACACATAAGAATTATTTATTTTGACATTATATATACATAGGCACTGCCTAATGACAATGCGTAGTAAAGGGAGAAATTAAATAATATAATTATTCAATAAAAACATTCCTAGAAAAGTGTGATAAATCGAGAAGTATGTGAGAAAAATAAGACTCTTTTCTAATAATCTCCGTCTACCATTCGATATTTACTATTTATGCTGGAACATCTTTTCAGCTTATCTAATGGTGTATTTATATCTGAAATGTGAATCTTTCTTGTAAGTAGACAATATATAATAAATAATATACATATACAAATATATTTTAATATTTATGTATAAATGGTTAGAGGTATACTATTTCACAGTCCAACTGTCGGTTTAATTGTTTTGTCGGGTAAATATATGTAATATAATGGAATTCCTTATTTTGTTAATATTGACGTTATGCAATAAAATTGTTATTTATATATTTGTTTTATTAAACTTTATAGTTGGCCTTGGTCTAATTGTAGCTACTTAAAATAGATGACTTCATACAACACTTTACAATATCAAGTCAGATATCAATAAAAAAAATGACATGTTTCAGATAATTTGTTTTCAAACTCCTGCCTATAATAATTAGCTCACTTACATACATATCCTTCCTCAAATATGGTATGCGATACAATTTATATTTAGCACCATTTACCAGTTGCATTATATAATCCCACACTTTTCACGGTTATGCATACTACAAACCGAAATATCGACATTTATTCTCTTCTTCCACTCTCATAATACGAATAGGAATTTAGTACTGACGTAGTCCTTTTTTATTTCTCATCACACAGTTGACCATGAATAGGTTGAACAACTATTTAAAAGTGCAAGGATCACAACCAACTGTCTGTGTATAAATTATGAAAATTCTAGAATTTAATCTTTAAAAGCAAAACAATGTGTGTCTATTAATAGAGGGTATAGGATACGCACTTCTTTATGCAAACAAGACGTTGATATGATAAAAAAAATACAAAATATCTTGAAAACATACTTGCTTTAATCTGTAAACTATAAGTAATTTAAAACTCATAATAATACTACTTGACTGAAATAAAAAAAATAACCCTGTAAAATTTAAAAGAGTTCTAGCTACATATATAACAAAATAAATTAATCAGATCTACGGTTTATTGCGCGTAACATAATGCTATGACCCGAGTGCTCAATCAGTATAGACGCCGGACCTTGCATCCACGGCTCACCATCTACTTGCATTGCGCACGATCCTTCCATATCGATCTGTAAATAATAAAACGTTTCAATACTGATTATTATTTATATATATCACTAGCTGTTTCCGCGACTTAGTCCGCGTGAAATTTATCTTTATTCTTCTAAAATAAAAGTAGCCTAAGTTACTCCTTATTACATCAGCTACATGCTAAAAAAAGTCCTGTCAAAATCGATCCAATAATTTCTGAGATTAGCCGGAACAAACAGACAGACAGACAAAAATTGTAAAAAATGTTATTTTGGTGTATGTACCGTATTTATATTCATATGCATGCAGTAAAAACGGTTATTTCAATATTACAAACAGACACTCCAATTTTATTTATATGTATAGATTATAAAGAACTTGCCTTACTCTTAATTACATTTTAAGACATATCAGTTATGTTATAGGTATTGTTAGAATGTCATTACGAATAATACTGCACTCTGAACCGCTTTCAATTTACTATAAACTTCAATTGACTATATACTTACAAATACCTACACTACAACTTCTTTTTGCTGCGCCCTGCCAGCGAAAACGAAACTATGCTTGCCAAAAAAGTGATAGTTTAAAATTATCTTAACTGTCAATTGATTAAATAATGAAATAGGCACGTAAAGCAACAAAAAATCGAAATCTAAATGTAAATTCACTCAATTTCTTATACCACATCTTGTTCTATACGACAATCATGCCAGTCTGGCAGACAGTGGCACCCTAATTTCACGGATAACCGTTAAGAAAAGTATAACCATTACTTTAGGTATCTTACCTTTACTCTTGAAGCTTGCGTAAAGCGAAATGGTTCAGCTAGGCCACACTGAAGTCGCGCTATATGGATCGATGAGGAAATTCCTACTACCTGAATTACAAATTAAACAATATATAAAAATCGTATAAAGAAAGCAACAACCAAAGATATAACGTAATTTTTCTATTACCTCCAGTTTACCATCGTTAATACTCTGCTCAGGTACTTCTTCTTTACCCATCCCTAGAAACAATAAAATATATTATCAAATAATATTATTATTTGATATTGGTAATTATTGTTGTTATTTAATAATAATGAAATACAATATTTTTTTATTCCAACAATAAAAAAGTAAATATCAAAGCATATTTATTTATTTCAGGCTGCTAATGGGCCATACGGCAATCTGCCACGGCACACCACCCATTTTGACCAGTAGTCCTCCTTCAAGAAGGTAGGCAGCGCGTCGTGTGGATTCGGTCTACAAACGCCTTGAAACTCTATATATATTCAGACGCGAAAAATTGAACATGTAATTGATAATGTAGTCTCACCCCAGAGGTGTACACCGGCGCCCCAGGAGGGTATGTTGAGTGCGACGAGCGCCTGCAGCGGCGGCAGCGGCAGCGGCAGCGGGTCCCGCGCACCGCCCACACGCACGCGCAGCCGCCGCTCCAGCCCCGCGCACCCGCCCGCGTCCAGCCACCGCCCCGCGCCCAGGAACGCATACGCCATCTGAACACCCCATAACCTGACTCACTGTTTTATCTAAATACATCACAGTATTGTTTTTATTGTATGTACCTATTTTATTTCTGTATGTTTATAATATGTCTACATAATTGCCATATTACTATTATTATTTACGTTCATTTCATTCCATTTATACGCCATCCACCAAACTTTCTTGCCGCCTAGTTACATTTTGCCTCTTTATTATTTTTATTCTATCAATGAACAAATAAATATACTTACATAATTAAGGGTTCTGCTAGCGTATCTATAGAGAAACTGTCTCCTAGCGTTATGGAAATCGAGCGCGACCTGGGCGTCGACGCCGATGCTAGCGTAGTTGTATGCATATAACACGCGGTCCGGCCGCAAGCGACCGAGTCGACGGCGCTTTGGTTTTATAGTTACCTTCCATCTAAAAATATATTTGACTAATTCAGAGACTTAACTTAATTATTTTTATTGTCTATGTTTTTTACAATAACTATATTATTTTATATATGACATATAATGAGTAAAATATTTGTGACTACATTGCGGTACCTTTTTTGGTCTTATCATACTTGTCATTAATCTTTTAAATATAGATACCCCTCACATTATCATACACAAATATTTAAAAATTACTATTAACGAAAGCGTATTAATACCTATGCATAGACCGATATTACACACTGCTGTTACAGACAAGGACTCAGTAATAGACTTATCGCGTATGAAGGTATTTTTAAGAAATTGAAAATAATTAACTTTCAAAAGTGAACAGAATATATAACTTCAACCTATTCGTAACTATACAGTATGCATAGAACTATAATATATTTCCGTCGCCAAAAAGACAAGTTCTTATTAAATATCTTAAATACTATGTATTTATGTAAACTATCAAAATCTTGTATTTCTCATGTAATACCTTTGTGAAATGTGACATTATAATTTTACTTGAAATCATTGTCTACAAATATTTTTTCAAAATAAATATAACAATAGTTGTTCAATAACTAACTTAATATACATTATATAGTCATTTCAAATATTTACCTATCCAAAACCTGTTCCTCGGCTTGTTTTATAGAGGCTATGATAAAATGTGCGTCTAAATGAGACGAGCAAGTCGGACCCCAACCTAACACTCGTGATAAATCATTTCCTGTCCCCATAGGCAGAATAGCAACAGGAGCCTGCAATGAAAAGAAATACAAATTTACATAATTATTCTCAAGCCAATAATCCAAGCTTCGATTACAGTTTACTTTTGTCTACATTTTTTATTACAGATTTTAGAATACGTATAATATAACTATTGTATCTGCATTAGTTTGACAGTATTATTCATTTTTATCATTCTATAATATTCACCGACTTAAAATCGGCACCGAGAAAGTGCGAAGCAGTTTCGCTCACCGAGAATTCCGAAGAAATATTGTTGGATCAGTCATGTATAGGTATATATAGGATAGAATAATAAACTCGCCTTCGTTAATAGTAGTTTCAAAATAGTAATATAAGGGTTTCATTTTATTTTTTGTTCAAAAATATAAATATATATGTATAAGGTAAGTATTAAATTTATTTTTAATAAAATGTATTGCTATGATATTCTTTATTTAATTAATCATAGTACTTTAATATGAGGGGCGGACTGTAGGGCGTTGAGGACCGAGGCTACTGTGCCGTCTCCGCCGGCTGCCAGCACGCGGCAGCGGTTCGGCAACCAGCGGACCACGCTCGCCGGCGACATTACGCTAATATCCACCACCTGACGGAAACACACACTTTTATTGTCTACTGCCTGACACACCACAATAATTTATTTATTTATTAGAACACCAACATCTTACAATGTAATATATTAAATCAGCAGTACATATCTAGAGAAGCCAATAATAGGTTTTCAGTAACTTAGCAAAGGAAAATAAAATAAATTATGGCTAACAGAATAAAGATTAATTTAGAACAAATCAAACATTATAAATTTCACAATAAATAAAAGTAATAGAACAATTACTTTAAGAATTATAAATACGATATCTAATAGTACCTGAAATAGAAGTCACTTGTATGAGTGTGTGTAAGAAAGAATGTGTGTGTATGTAATTAAAGTATATAAAGCATTTGTATAATAATGTAGAACATATCACCCAATCCCAAACAAAGCGAAGCTCGTACGTTTTATTCTATTAAAATAAAATTAGCCTAATATACCCTTTATAACATTAGCTTACTGTGGGTGAAAGTCCCGTCAAAATCGGTGCAGCCGTTTCAGAGATTAGCAAGACAAAACAAACAGACAGAATTTATTACACTCATTTTTTAAGAATGTACTTTCATATACATTTAGCAGAAAGTATTACTTATGTTTACCATAAAACTGATGCCGGGTTTTTTTTTATTGATGACGACATATACCTAGTTATAATTTTATTTCTTTTTCGTTTTATAATTCTACTCTGTGACATATGTATCCTTTTCGAAAAATACTCCGACGCTCCTATGCTTTATCTTTCCTGAAATACACCTCACAAACCTCACACTACTTTTTATCATAATATATACTTAATATCTCCACTTCACTTTTATGCATTGTTCGAAATTGTATGATGTAAAATCTTTCTGACCTACACAAAACATTTTTTCATAATAGTGATAATATTATTATTGTATAAAAGAAAAATAACCTGTATGGGATTAAGAAGACCTCTAAAAATGGAGAGAACTTCATCACTTCGGTTGCTGCCAGATTTACGATTTGCTAGAAGTGAAAAACAATTTAATCCTTTTTTTATATAACTATGTAAATATAATATAACTATGTATGTTATATATAGGTATGTATTATTTTTTATTTGCTAAAATGAAAGATTGTGTACAATAAGGAAAATATTATACAATATAAATGGAGTAACACTGATGCTTTGTGATGCTAATAGAGTAATTCTGATAGGTACTATGTAGAGGATTTTATTCAAGCTGAACCCCAGTTCAATATTTGTACATGCTTACCTAATATTATTAGTGGTTCCCAATTTGTATCTTGAATTGATTTAATATTGGTTATTAATCCTTTCTCTATTTGTACACAAGCAGGTGGGATTATAATATTTCTATACTTTTGAAAGTCACATTCCTAAAACATAGGAAACAATGAAACATATGACAAGGTTTTAGAAAAAGATCACCCACACATATATTAATTTATAATTTTGTAATTTACCTCAGAATTATTTAAGATGTCAATATTACTCAACTTTGTTCTTTGACACCAACAGCAAAAATATTTTTTAATGGTATCTTCAACATTATCAGGATTCTCAGCACGAACTGTGCCAACTGTAAATATAATAGTAATGAGATAATTAAATTTAGAGGATAATAATTTTAAGTTGCTGAGCTAGCTAGTCAGGACTAACATTTTTAAAATACTAGTATAAAAGTTATAGATGTTAAATTTAAGCAACATTTCTTTTAATGGAAGAAATGTTACCAGAAAAAGGTAACAACTATATTACAACATTTAGTAATTTGATTATTAAATTCTTCTCAAATAATTACAATTTATGTCAGAAAATCATTATCATATTATATTATATTCTAAGAAAATTATGGTATATACCTACTTAAAGTAGAAGTCAATAAATATATAATTCATATTCAATGTACTCCTAGTTGTATACGGTTAATTGTTAAACAACATTTAGAGTTCTTAATTAAATTATTTCTATCGACAATTTAAACTATAAAATACTTTTAAATAAATATAGGTGTATTTTTGTTTAAATATTTATTGAATCATCATCAAGATGATCATGTACATAATATGCCTTATATCCAAAAAAGGATGATGAACAAACTTATTAGATATATATATATAATAAATACTGCACTATTTATTATTGAAGTAATAATTTGTTGTTTATAATAATTTCCAATTATAGTTTTATGGTTACTTTTTATAAGAATGAGTCACCAATTTATTTTTAATTAGGTTTTAAGAAATGTTAATTAATTTGTGACACATAATGTATTAATTAATTTATGATGTGACTAATTACCATTAACCCAATGGTGGTGAAAGGGTTTATCACTGGGCCATGAAACAGGTTTACATTTGAATCTCTTCTCTATTGTACAGTGGCATCTCTGGCATGCAGTAACTGCACAGCACTCACAGAAAAGCCCAACCAGAGGCAACATGAGTTTACCACAAACTGTGCACTATAAACATATCACATAATATTAAAAAATATAATACACTTATTTTTTTGTAACAAATTTTTAATATTTGTAATTTAAAATCACCAATCCTTAAAAAGCAAAGAAAAACTTTAATTATAGGTAGATACAAAATTTACAAACTTATCTGAACTCTACTTAAATTACAAGGAAAGGCAAAACATATTCTTTTTATATAACAAATATTACATTTATTAACATAATTTGAATAAAGTTGTGCAGTTACTTACATAAATGTTATAAGGAATGGATTTATTACATTCAATGCTTCTCCATGTATGCCCACGAATTGTATATTTAGAATGAATATAATTATTATCACTTATAAATGAATACAAAATCCGATAAATCAAATAACTAAGAAATAATCCGCCAGTTAAAAAATAATAATTAAAAAATACATCATTTAATTTGAAAATATCTTCCATGGTAAAATGTATGCACAAAGTAACTATTTATATTTAATTGTTCAACAAGTCATTGGTTTAGGTAAATTCAAGAATACTATGTATTATTTGCTTTTTATCAAACAACTAATAAAGCATTTGGGTAAAAATCATTTTAACTCTATTTTATTAGTAACGTTAATATGCATATTCAAAGAAACCAGGCAAAAAACAAAGTTAAATCTTTTGTTTACATAAAAAAACAGAATAAACAACAACATTCAAAGATTGGAATGCCAATAATTTCATTTTGTTCACAGATTAGAAAGACTGCATTTTAGAGATGTCGACGTTGAATAAACATCCGACTTTATTGAGAAAATATCGATGTTAATATCGATACATCGATATAACTTCTATAACTGCAACACAAAAGGCGCAAAAAATCTTCACAGTAATAAACTTTTTCAACGCACTTGCTCGTAAATTGGATCTAGTTTCACCAATATTGGATATATAAACTAGCTCATAAAGCATGCGCGAGTTAAAATGCAAATAGTGAAATTATACGTATTTCCTACTGCACTACGACACTATTTGTTATTTAAATTTCAGCGCGGCGCGGCGCCGCGCCGCTGACGGGTAAGTAGGGTATTATTGGTGTTTTGTGTGGGTAAGCAACAGTGTGCATCACAATTCACAGTATTATGATTGAGTTTGTTTAAAATCAAGTGTGTATATGTTTTCACTTACGATGTACATGCGTATTTGTTATGCGAATTCATCCCCACACACTGGAACCTAAGTGGTCCCGAACAGTGCGGTTTCAGAGAAGTTTCCTCCCGCGTACACTTAGATTGTGGAATGAACTTCCTGCCGAGGTTTTCCCACGAGACTACAGCATTGGGTTTTTCAAGAAGGGTATATTTGTTGAGGTAAAGAACAGACTCAACCTTTATAATTATGGTCTTTGGTTAAAAATGTCATAAGAAAATGGATCTCTGTATTTTTGCTGTTAAAGAGTTAAAATGTCTAGGAATTAAGTTACAAAGTAAATTGTATCAGAATATATAAGTAAAGTATTAAAGAAGTGATTATTATAAACAACAGTGTATTTTATTGTGAACATTTACAAATAACATTAATATTAAGGTTTCTTAAGGGTCGGCAACACGCAAGTGATACCCCTGGTGTTTCAGGCGTTCATAGGCTACGGTAACCATTTACCATCAGATGGGCCGTATGCTTGATTGCCACCATCGTAGTATAAAAAAAAAATTATCAAACTCGGTTATATTATACTCTCGCCAATGGCTTGGGATGTAATTCCGCATAGTATAGATATATATATATATATATATATATATATATATATATATATATAATATGTCATAAGTATCACAACGCACTTATACGCACGCAATATTGTAATATAATAGTTCAACATACATGCTCGTAAAATGGATCTAATTTCACCGGTTTTTGATATAGAAAGCAGATCATAAAATTCACATGCCTTATAATCACAAATAGTGAAGTTATAACTGCATTAATTCCTGTTTTTTTTATATTCGTGCTATGGTCATGTGTGTCGATCAGCGTGTCGATGTCAGCGTGATCAAACAACAAAAATTGAAGTATAAAGATGCTAAACATAATATAGATTGTTTCTCATTACATGCATATTTTCTCTGTAGATATTTTCGTGAATGTGATGTATGCTTATTCTAAATTCGAATTGTCGCTAAGTAACATGAAAAACAGATAAGTCAAATATATATTCAGTTGCAATTTTTCTTATAAGTAATAAACACCTGAAACATTATTTGTAGTTATATTTGCAATATAGTGGCGACAGTGACGAAATAAAACAAAAATAATACACCATGGATATACGCAAAAGAACACAATTTAGACGGGAATTCACCATCATATCCGATGCAATAGAAAAAGCATTCGAAGCAAAAGACTCAGAGACAATCGACGAAAAATATACTATACTCACAGATAGTGTCGAAAGTCTATTACAAATGTGAAGCAGCAATTCGCAACCTATGGTGTGAGGATGATAACTTCGACGAACAGTCCTTTCAAGCCGACTAGGACAAAATACTCGAATATCGGAAACAATGGTCAAAGATAAGGACAAAATACACGAAGTACACAAAAGGAAGTGATCCGCTACAATCGTTTCAGCTGAAACTATGGTGAAGTCACATAATAACCAATGCAACAACAAACAAAGGCTCCTAATCCCGAAATTAGAGATAATTAAATTTGACGGGAACGTGAAGTCGTGGCTGTTGTTCTGGGGACAGTTCCAGAAGGTACATGATGACAAGGAGATCAATGACTTCGATAAGTTTCAATATCTACTTCAGTCTATGGCAACAAATTCCAGTGCAAGACAGCTAGTCGAAAGTTATCCACCATGCGCTGCAAATTATCCAAAAGCTATAGACGCATTGAAGGCTACATTCGCAAGAGACGATGTCTTAATAGAGACGTATGTCAGGGGCTAGTTAACATTAATGCAAGATAAAAATCAATTATCTAACTCTAGTGACCTGTCTGCGCTGTATGATAAACTCCAAACGCATCTCCAAGTACTCGAGACTCTTGGAGTAACAAAAGATAAGTACGCTTCAATCTTATTTCCTATGGTAGAGTCAGTGTTGCCGGAAGAAATACTACGCGCATGGAACAGGCATAGGTCCGATAATAACAAAGGACTCTCTGAATTTTTAAGACAAGAGGTAGAATCGGAAGAGAGAATCCAATTAGCTCGACAAGGTTTCACTCTAACGCCAACAACATCTAGTGAACCAAAGTCCCCTACTATATGCTTCATGTCAGAAACAAAAACAAACAAAAGAAAAGCGTAAAAGTTCTATAATATGCATATGGTGTGATAGGGATTCGGATGGTAGTTCAGAATGTTATAAGGCGGCGAGAATGACTTTAAAAGAGAGAAAAGAGTTTGTTAAATCGAAGAAAGCATGTCCAATCTGTTTAACAAATAATCATCATTTTATGAAGCGATGTAAAAGTTTCCCAAAATGTTTATTCTGTAAAAAACGGCATTTTACTATAATGTGTCCGGATATAGATGAACAAGGGCAAAAGAAAAAGGAAATATGTGAGAATTATGCGAACAATTTATTATGTCAATTAAAGCCTACAACATTACTACAAACCGTGGTAGTGGTAATTAAGTCTGGAAATATCTCAAAGATCATATATCAAAAAAGATGTTGTTCGAAAATTTAATTTAAAGTCAACTAGAAAAGAGCGAATAACTCATTGTTTATTTGGCGGCATAGAAACGAAAACCGAAGAACGTGACATTTTTGACATAAGTGTTGATTGTGTTACTAATGACTTTAGTTTGAATTTATCAGTTTTAGAACAAGACAACATCTGCTGTTTTTTACCTAAAATAAGATCGTCTGTAATAATTGAGCAACTGCGAGATAAAGGTATCATTTTGACTGACAAAGTAGACTCACCTGATGACGTAAGCTTATTATTTGGAGCCGACTTCTCTGGAGCTTTACTGACCGGTGTCATAATCCACTTAGAAAACTTGACCGCTATAAAAACTAAATTAGGATGGACAATTCGAGGACCAACTACTGGTATTTATAGTTCTGTAGTTACAATGACAACAACATTACATTGTTTAACAAAAATTGACATTTCAGATCTATGGACATTGGAGACTTTGGGTATTACAGATCCAGTTGAACAAAGTAATAAAACTCAACAGGAGTTGAAGGTTTTACAATCATTCCAAAAGTCAGTAAAGATCAATGAAGAAGGTCGTTATGAGGTATGCTTGCCTTGACGTGACGTTCCTCGTCCATCTGCTAATTTTGAAGTAGCGAGAAAACGTTTAGATTGTACGATGAAAAAGTTACTGCAATTAGGTAAGGTAGAACAATATGATACTGTATTTAGAGAATGGCTTGCACTAAATATTATTGAAGTAGCACCCAATCAAGATGTTAAAGATCACTACATGCCACATCACGCAGTTATAAAGAAATCGAGTCTTCCTACTAAAATACGCCCTGTTTTCGACGCGTCAGCAAAGGACAAATGCGGCATATCATTGAACTCTTGTTTAGAAAAAGGCGTCAACTTACTTGAACAAATTCCTCAACTTATGCTTAATTTCAGAAAGGAAGCTATAGGTGTAACAGCAGATATTGCTAAAGCATCCAACAAATATCAATAGTTCCCGACGATCGCGATTATCTACGATTCCTGTGGTGGTCTGATCCAAGTAATACGGATAAAACTATCGTTACTTATCAGCACAGACGAGTTGTTTTTGGAGTAGCCTCAAGCCCGTTTCATTTGATTGCGACTATAAATCATCATTTAGATCATTGTCATGACCACTTGAAACAAACAGCAGAACAACTGAAAAATTCATTTTACGTTGATAACTGTGTGACCAGCTTACCATCAAAGGCAGGATTAGATAAATTCATCAATGAGTCGAAGGAACTAATGATAAACGGTAAATTGATCTTAGAGGTTAGGTATCGAGTCCAATATTAGTAGATAACAAGGTCGAAAATATCTCTATACTAGGAGTACTGTGGAATATAAATGGAGATAATCTCAGATGTAACTGCAATTCTTTAAAAAACAACAAAACGATCATTATTGTCTATAACACAAAGAGTTTTCGACCCAATAGGTATTGTATGCCCTACTACCATCATTCCAAAAATGATAATACAGGCGGCATGGACATATAAACTTACCTGGGATGAAGAGTTACCTCAAAACCTTGCAAAAGATTTTAAAACATGGCTTAGTCAAGCTCACCTTATTAATGAGTGTGTAATACCTAGACGTCTCACTAGTTCACCCATAAATGAGAGTAAAAACTCATTACACGTTTTTTGTGACGCTAGTAACAATGCGTATTCAGCATGTATATTTCTACGCGCGGATTACAACGGGAAAATAGACGTATGACTAGTTATGGCGAAGGCTAGAGTGACACCATTAAAGAAAATTACTATACCTAGACTCGAATTAATCGCCGCGACGCTAGCGACCAGATTGGCTGCAATTGTAACTAAAACTTCGAACAAATTCTTCGAAGAGTGTTAGGTAAAGCATCGCTTTCATTCGTCGAGTTGCAAACAATACTTTGCGATTGTGAAGCTACTATTAACAATAGACCTCTGACTTACATAAGCAACAGTCAAGATGAACTTCAAGCAGTAACTCCATCTATGTTTATACAACCGCAGGCACAGTGTGAAGTAAGAGATTTAGATGAAATTGATAGCAAGTCATTGAATGTAAGAGCAAAACACTGTCAAAATATAAGAGACGTTTTCAGACAGCGGTTCAGAAAAGAATATATCAGTACGTTAATTCAACCTCGTAACAAGTACGCTCAGCTACAGTGCGGTGATGTGGTGCTAATAGAGACAGAGGATAACAGACGGATTAATTGGCCGTTAGGTATAGTGGAGGAACTTTATGACGGTACAGATCAATTCTCTAGAGTGGCCAAAGTTCGTACAGCTACTGGAGATAGAGTAAGGCCTGTTCAACGACTATTCCCATTAGAAATACGACACAACGTTACCAATAATCATGATAGTGATACATCTAACGGGACAATGACTGAACAAGACATGACAACACAGACTCTACGACACGAGTATTACGTTCACGTAGTGGTCGCGAATTAAGACCACCACGATATCTTAACGACTTCACATGTTAATTATTATCATTATGTATATTTCGCATACCATTGTTCACCTCCCGGTTTTTCTCGCTGCGGACTGTGACGTATGCTTATTCTAAATTCGAATTGTCGATATGACATGAAAAACAGATAAGTCAAATATTATATATTGAGTTGCAATTTTTCTTATAAGTAATAAACACCTAAAACATTACTTGTAGTTATATTTGCAATAGTGAATATATAATCGGGAATGCACTCCCAATCTCTGACCTATATAGCGACGACGGTTTTTTCATACTATACGGCTAAAATAGATTATTTTTCTCTAAATACTTTAAGGTTTCTTGTCATAGCATAACGACGGCTGACAGAATTCTGAAATCTGACGGTCTAATCTAGTGGTTTAGCATATTGCCTTACTTCTGATGGTCGCCGATTCAATTCCTCGCAAATCTATGTAGAGTCAAATAGTCGGTTTACCTACCACTAACCCACTGATACTTTACAAAAAATTTCGCTATAGCTAGGTATGTGTATAAGCACATGGAAAGCGTTTATTTTGAATGAAAAGGCATGTCTTCTTAAATCTTAGTCTTTTCGGGTGAAAAATTCATGGATATAACATTTAATTACCGATCAGTAAGTTGTTAAATTTAATTCGGACGATGCCAGTTGATTTAAAAAAATATAAGATAGCAAACTTTCAGCCGAAGTTGAAATTTTTTTTATTACAGTTTATGCATTTAAGTTAGGTTTCTCGTGTTAATGTTACTATTTCAGTCTATTTCACACTTGACTGGGAATACAGTAATACTAACGTAATATGGGAATGTACCCATAACTCTTGCATAATATTATCACTAAGCTACAATATACTAAGTTTGTCCTTTATTCAGAGACATGAATTTTTTGGCGGTTCTGCTGGTCTTTTTGCAGCTAATAACAATAATTCCTCGCCTTCCCCATGTGATGTTAAATAAGATTTTTCGTGATGTCGCATTTCCGAACTTAATAATTATTCAATTATTAATTTCGGACACGTGACCCAACCCCGTCCCCCATTGCATAGAAACATAATTTATAGATAGCCCCCATGATGAATATATTTTTTTTTGTGCATAGTTTGGGGCTTTTATAAATTATTTAATGCGTCTTTTATTTTATAAACTAAAATTTGATGGAAACACTCAAAATAAACCTGTTAGTATATTTTATAATCACCAATATTAGCACTTTACAATATTTTTTATGTAACTAGGGTGGCAAATAAGCTGATGGCCAACCTCATGGTACATGGCAACCACCGTCGCCTATATAAATAAAGAATGCCGCGGACATCACGTCATCATGATGTGACGCCCGTTGTACCTTGTAATTTACATTTAAATACATAATCATATAAATAGCTCATTTAATCACATATATACATAGTAATTCATCCACCAGTTCACGAGATTTCTTCATCCACTAGTCTAGTCAAACATTTCTGAAGTTTTAAAGAAGACAAATCGAGTGGTGATTTTTGTTCTTTATTTTTAATGTGTAAATCTGCGCCAGCTTTTACTAACATACAGGCTACAGCTTCTCTGTCTTCTTCACAAGCCAGATGTCTGTAATAACACACATATTTACAAATTATTATAAATTTTGTAAGAAGAATTTGAAACAAACTATGTCAAACATACAGTGTTTAAAAGTGTTATATGTGAATTAGTACTAGTATTATATCATAAATGTAGTGATAGTAGAGAGTGACTCAATTTCAATTATATAATATCTACTACAATGTAAACGGTCTTCTTAACATTTTAGAGTCCCAGACAATACCTACCACTTTTTAAGAGCACTCAGAACATACAGTATTTTTTGACAGTAAATTTAATAAAGTACCTACCTAGATACGGAAATTTTAGGCCATTGATAGATATGGAATAAACAAAAGGTAATACTTACAAAGGTGTGCAGCCAGTGGAGTCACAGAGATCCAATTTTACATCAGGTGACAATAAAAGTAGTTCAATAATGTTATTCCTGCCTTGAGCAGCAGCTCTGTGTAGAGCTGTAGCTTTTAATACATCAGTATTATTCACATTTGCATCATTTTGAACTAATAACTTCACTACCTGGGAAAAGTTGGAAATTTGTAATTTCATTTTACTGCTTTTTTTGTTAATAGCTTTAGTCTATTTATCTTGTGTGATGTCAAACTTCAAAATCTAATATATTAAAGTATTACATATTATAAAACGCGAATTTTGAAACATTAACGAAAATATTTCAAATTTTAAAATGGAATGTCTCACTAAGGGTGTGGGGTCAATAATTACAAAATTTGTGTGATGAAATACAACAGTGCACTCCAGTACCATGATGGTACTGGAGTGCACTGTTGTATTTCATGCTAGGGTGCCATAAATTACGTCACATATTCAGGTGGAAGGAGAGCATAGACAAACTGACAAGGGCTTGGGAGGTGTTTATAAATTTTGTCTCACAAATGTGACAAGAGTATGGATGAGTTCAATAATAATAAAATTCCTGAGATGTAATTTATGAATGAATTACAAAAACACTTAGTTATGAGTCAGCAGAGTTATTGAGTCTGCTTTTCTACAAATTTGCTTCACCAGAAACCTATTATATGATTAATTTAATAAAAATAGAGGCATTAAATAATCAAGCACAAATAAACTAAAGCAGAAATATTTTTCAATAACCTTTTAACACATACAGATAGTTATATATAATTAATAAATAAAATTAACATTATTAATATTACAGAATTACCGAATAATGTCCTTTAGAACAAGCATAATGCAATGCCGACTGGCCACGGTTTGTTTTATGATCGACATCAGCTCCTTTGCCAATCAATAGTAAAACAACTTCATTCTTTCCAGCAGATGCAGCTAATATAAGTGGTGTAGATCCTGTATCATCCACTGAGTTAACTGAGTTTCCATGGCCAATTAAATACTCTACTAGATGTACATTTCCACTGAGAGCCGCCCAATGAAGAAGTTGTCTTCCATTCTGAACATGTAAATTATAAAGCAACATGTAAAAGAGGAAACAAAGAATTGCAATGCAAGTTGTATTCCCACCAGCAGCCTCTATCTGGTGATAAACTGGCATTGCATGAATAAATGTGACAGCCCAGTATTAAAAAATTTACCTACTTATACTTTAGTAAACTATGTGTTATAGTACTTATAATTGATAAGTAGTAGTACTAATAATTGATAAGTATAGATGATATACTACAACTTACTGAGTCCCGGTTACATGCTATTTGAATATCTTGATCCAATTTAACTTTAACCTGATTAAAATCACCCTTGTAGGCCATTTCAAAGACAGATCCAATAGACATGTTGTAGTTTAGTGTTCCTGATCTTACCAGTAGTGTGAAAAATTTACAAATATTTTCTAAACAACTGGCCACATTTAACCTGAAACAATATGAGTTCATTAAAAAAATACATTTACAAGTTTTGTTTCACAAGGAAAAGTTATTATCACCTTATAATCAGATACTATGTTTATGTATTTATTTCAGATTGCCAGTTGGAAATTTAGAAGTTATATAGGAAAAGGATTGGGAGTAATGGAAATTAATGAGTATCATCTCATTACTAGCAATGTATCCTCTGATAACCCTCACATTTAATAGTTCCATTGACTTCATCGCATGCTCATCTTAGTAACCTTCAATGGTGCTCCAGCATATACCTACCGTTAGCACAGACGAGTGCACCATTCCATTATCACTCATAAAAAAGTACTCTTATATTACGATACTTCATGAGCCTACAAAGCAAGTGTTATAATACTATTAGATTATGGCTCTGAACTGGGTAATTTACTTTTGATATTTCACATTTACAATTAAGCAAGTATAGAAAATTCGAAATTGTATGTTACTTACACACATAAATCGGAAAGAATAAAATAATAACAGAAACTAAAACAATAATAAAAACAAAAATGTATTTATTTGTTTATTCACGAAATTCGCACAACTATCAAATAAAGTAAAATAGAGATGTTCCGATGTCCGATTCGATAATTGACGACATTTTGTGGAAAAATATTAATGTTATGTTTTAGATTATATTATGACACATCTGTGTAACTACACATGAACGGTAGTGTTTCGATGTTGGATCCCCAACAACCACGACAAAAATTGAGAACCTAAAAGGACATTAGAAAAAACCAATACTTCTGACATAAAACAAATAAGATCAAGTATTAGCGGCATGCATTAGCGGAGAAAGTTCAATTATACAGCAGAAAAATACTAGAACATCGCAAAGACGAAACATAATTTTTTTATAACCCTTATTTTATTAAACCGATATTGACATTATTGTTGACTTCGATGTTTTTGACTAGATTTGTAATAATAAATAGAGCGAAAAACACCGAAAAATGACTCCCCTCCGATCGATACCCCATCCAATTCAAACGGGAATTGAAATATCGACCGCTATCGTTGCTATAAGGCTAGTTCTATTTGTCAGGTACGAGTTGTCTCTCAATTGCTCCAGATATCCTTCCCCCAGTAGGTACCTCAATGAAATATTAAAGTTGTTATTAATTTTATAACTAACGAATAGTTATAAACTTACTAACAACTTTTACATAATAAGTATATATTTACATTAATAAAAATAAACAAAAATACTATTTATAACGTTAATAGTTTTTGTTTATATATTTATTTCGCGAGGGTAATTGAATATTTAAATAAACTTTTACTTACATTATCTACGGTACGGACCGTTTTTAAGCTCTATTAGACAGACGTCAGATTGATTACTCAGTGTCCAAATTCATTCACAATCTTTTTATATTTTTAACATTACAAAGGATAAAATGTTTACTTATTCATTTTTATATTACTGTGCTCTGCGTATTTAGCTTATTTGTCTCCACCTTTGCAATATTATCGGACCGTCATCGGTTTTGTTATTAAAATATTGTTATGTTTGTATTTAAATACATTTTTAGGTCAAACATAAGAGAAAGCGAAATTTTCATAAAGTAACCAGAAGTGTACATCAATTCTATTGCCAACAATTTACTTTTGTTTTTCGAAAAATGTCTGCAACATACTATGATTATTATGATGGCAGTAAAATGTTTTTATTTGTATCGAATAGAGTTGGTCTTCCCATAGATCTTGTAAGTATTAAATTATCTTATTACTTTATTTTTTCTCCTTTTAAGCCTTATTTTTATTAAATAACATATATTTAGACAATAAACACGATTTTGTTTGTTAATAATCTAACACTATGCTCGTCATGCATGTTTATTCCATTTGATATTTTAGAAATATATTCAAAGTATTATAAAAGTTAAGCAGTTTTAATTACATTTTAATATGCTTAAAATGCTGAGATTGATAACTTGTAGCTTTTTTCATGTCTCATTATTATCACTATGATTAATGTAGACATTATTGTATGATTGACTCTACTTGCAACAAATTCACATACCACATTTACAAATTTTTTGAATCACACATTTTTAATTATCTGGCATAATACCTATTCTCTGTTCAATCTAATCTATGTAAGTTAAGTAATAATGCACAATAAATATATCAAAGAGTAAAAGACATCAGATACATAATATGAAAAAAACAGTTTACGAAAAAAAATTTTGTTGTGCATATCTTGTTTTAATATATATGATAATTATTGACAATACTCATAACTAGTTAATATAAAAAATATGAATTAGTGTACTCTACTTAATATGAATATAATAATAAATAGATAAGAAATTTAGGAATAGCTTTGTTTGTTTATATGTACTTTTAGATTTCACATATTTCACTTTAATTTATTAGTCTCATAACATCATATTTTCCTTCCATTAGGTAAATTTTTTGATAGCACAAATAGCTGCACTATGCCTGGCCAGGCTGTTTCGGAAACCATTGAAGCTTGCTTCAGCTGAGTTTCGTCATTCTGTGTGCCTTGTTATAGGTTTGATAATGGGATATTTCTGCTTTGGAAAGTAAGTTTGATATTTGCTATTCATTTTAAAAATATTTTTTATATTTAAATGATTTGCTTGAATGTATTTAGTAATAGTATATTACAATTCATACAATAACATTATATTTCTGCAAAGTAAGGACTTTGATTGTTCAGTTTTTGATGGTTTATGGTTGCCATATTTAATTTATGTTGTTATTATGTATGTCATGAACATAATTACAAAAACAATAAAAACAAGCTAAGACCCAGATAGAGACAATTATACCCTATAGTACCTGTTGGGATTTAAGATATAAAATTGAATTAAAAAATATTGGCATACAGACAGTAGGTTGCTATGACACTACATAACTTGTGATGCAAGTATCCAGTAGTAGTAACCTATAAATTACCTTTATGATTTAATTTGTTTAAACAAAGTTAATACAACATACACTTACACTACGAAAGGAAAGGAGAAAAGGGCTTCAGAATTTTATGTACAAACTTATGTTTTCTAAACTTCTGTCTGTCTCTTTTTGGGTCATCAAGAGAAAAAAATCCACACTTGACCTGTGTGTAAATGTTTTATTAGATTCAGCAAAATATATTGATTGATACAGGAGTTCCTTATAATTAATTATAATGTAAGTAATCAGTGAGGCATTTCCCGAAATATCAGCGGGACTAGTAGATAAGGAGTTATCTCATACCCACTTGGAATAAAATAGTAAAAAAAAGATTAAACAACAAAAAATGGGTTCAAATAAAAGATATATAACTTAATATATCTTTTATTTGAACCCATTTTTTTTCTATTTACTTAAACAACCTTCCTAATTTTACAATAAACAATACATGCTAAACCTGCTATAATTTACAATAGTTAAATTACTATATACAATGAGTACCTATTGTATTTTCCTGAAAAAGAGTGTCAACAATTTTTCATTTCCATTTGGATGCCCAGTTGTATGTCAGATATTTCCTTACAGTGAAATAATTTACATGTACAAATCATGTAGTTTTCGGTTGTTAAGTTAGTCTAAGATGTTATCATCAAATCTATCTACATTGTGTATTTTACCGAATTTTGGCCTATTGTTATTTTATGATTGACAATTTTTGTAGGCAAATAAATGACGAGAGTCATAGGTATATGGTAGGTATAAGTATATGCACAATAGCTGTATCCTTTTTTTTCTTATCCATAAAATATCTATTTTTGGCAACTTAGTATATGCACAATAGCTGTCTAATTTTTTTATTTCCTTATCCATAAAATATCTATTTTGGAAACTTAGGACGTCAACTCTTTATGTATTTATTCTTTGTCTTGATATAAGTACTATTAATACATTAGTAGATAACTAAGTGTTATTATCATTGTCTATGTCATTTGTTTATTTTTATGCTAAAGTAAAGAAATATGTTACGGTTTTATACTGGTAATCGGACGGTTTACTGTTTACTAGATTCTGTTTTGTAATAAAAAGACCAAACACAGTAGGTATCATAACTTACCTATATACTTTTCTGTATACAAAGGTGTGAAGTATAGTGAAGAAATCTATTCAAATTAGTTATTATTTATAACAATGAGATACAAAGAATAATTACTCCCAGACTAATAATAAATATGTTAGATACAAATTTATCAAGCTTACAATCTTGATTAAATTACTCACGAAGTAAATAAGTCATGGAATTACTATTCTACTACTTTCGTCGTTTGTGAATTGGACATAGTTTGGAATTTCAATTCTGGGCTCAATTTATTCGCGGTCACTAGTTATGTTAAGGTACGTTTAGACACTGAAACTACACAGACTAGAATATAATTTGTTGTTTTATAAAATTAAGTATTATATTGCAAATGTCCACTGTTTTGACTAATTTAGCCTCTGAACAGTCAACACTAAGCTTCCAAATTACATATCTACAAACTAGCTTCATTGCATGATGATTGACGCCTTATTTAGAAACGAAACACGTGTTGCAATATGGGCGTATATTCAATAACGGTCGGAATTTGATCACTAACGCTTCCAGTAGCGATGATCAGGTTTCCTCAATGAATATTTGTGGTCTCACGCATAGTAAGGGTAGCGGATTCAAAACAAAATATGTTTTCCAAATCCATTAAGTATTTGAATGTGTTATTTTAAAGCACGACAATGGAATATTATTCCCGCCTGATTGCAACCAATGCGAGATACTTCAGAACCCATCGTAACAAATTAATGGTATGATGGTAAGACCGTGCCAGGTGGATGCAACGCGATATCGACAGTATTTGGATTAGGGTCTGCGCAGACATGACATGTTCTTTTCCTTTTCTACTTAAGAAATACCTATATCTAATTTAATAATAATGATGTTTTTTAACAATATTTAATTCTAAAAACTGTTGAAATAATGAAGAAGCCTTTTGCCAATTAAATAAAGTAACAAATAAATTTTATATTATGCTGTAATGATATATTATGTTGTAATTTGTGGCGTAGGTACTGTTATTGAGCCAGATAGCAGGATGAGATACAATACAATCAATATAGGTCCTACTACTTTGTATAACCGTATATAAGAAATAATACATAGTCAGTATTATTAAATTTCCATTTTTCTTTCAGGCAAGCGATACATTTATCAGTGCTACCAATGTTAAGTTACACACTGCTCAAGACTGTACCACAACATCTCATGGGAAAGTAAGTAAATTACCAATTGTATCATAGATATAGTACGGGCAAGGGATACCCCAAAATGAAGTGAGAGAAGTCAATTATATCCGTATATTCACTATTTTCATATTATTCGCGTGTTTCTAAGTATTATATTGCCTATCCTGTACACCCTCTGACCGATCCTGGCTACGCTCACGACAGAGTAGGTAATATAAATGTAGGCGGCACAAAAAAACTGACTTCAATCGCTTAAGCCTTACTAATATAAGTCAAAAACTACTGATCAGATCTTGTTAAACATGGTATACATACATAGTAAAAAGATTCTCGTTCTTTTTTAAGTTCATTGAAAATTCACAAGCAAATTTATGAAATATGCATAATATGTAACTTATACATATTGTAGGCGACACCAGATATTAAATACCGTTTATATTACATTCATGTCAATAGTTCGTAATTTTAAATAATGTCAGTCACGACAGATCGGTTATTAAATAAATGTCTGTCCGTCCCGTATGTCTGTCCCGACCGAATAAATAAAATTATTATATACGTACATAAACTGGTTATAACAAATATTCTGATATAACGATCATATTTTATGGTCCCTTTAGTGTTATTAAATGCGGTTTCTCCTGAATTCATATATATTCGTTTTTTATGCCTCCAGATCTGTGATAAAAATACTGAAGGAATACGTAGAGATAAATTAATAGGTTCAATGCTAGAGTAATAGTATAGACACAGTACAAAAACGAATTTAAAAATAGTTAACAATGTATCTAAACTAAACTGTTATTGACTTAGTTAAAATGAAATGCTAATCGTACAATATATAATACATGGTTCTGTGCTCTTTTATACGATTGGCATTGAATTAGGATCAGGTATTACAGTAGGGATCACTGGTTTAAGAAAATATCACTAATTACAAAGGTAAATAACTAATCGACTTGATAAAATTAATAAATGACCGTTAAAATGAATAGTATCTCTCTCTCTCTTTCGGCCTTATCCCATCTCATCGGCTCTCCTCATAACCCGTCTCCATAGTCGTCTTGTCTGAAACCTAAAAACGAATTGTATGTCTCCATACTTATTATTTTGTACAAAACTGTCGACCATCACTTAGTGTCTTTTCAAATTTACCTAGATATATACATAAAATTTGACCTTCTTTTTTTAATAGCATAGATAGTTTATACAAGTTATTTTATTGAAACGTTAATATATTTTTTTCAGTATTATATTATCTGCCTCTATGTTATACTTGTCATGTTTACATTTACACCGGCAAATATACCATACAGCAGATTACACGCTGGATATTACAGGTAAGGAAAGAATGCATTTCTTTTTACACCACATGCCACAGACATAGAAATATGACGTTTACCGTGTAAAAAAATTATGAAGCTAATTAACATAAAATATTCATAACAAGTATATATTACATAAATCGTACATTGTTTTTGGATGAAAAATAATGTGTAGGTAATTTAGCTAAGATATAAACAATACTAATGAGGTTCTAACGTCTATGTATCTTGTCATGTATGAGATGTTTTTTATATGATACAAACAGGTATAAAATACAAATGAGCAAAACTGTTTAAAATGTATTATTTATTCAATTTCATTGTTGCCTAAATTGTTATTGACATTGGTTCCAAATTTTCAGGCCCTCTAATGGTGATAACGCAACGAGTAACGTCATTAGCATACTCATTACAAGATAGTTTAGCTAAGAAAGAAATAAATTGTAATTCAACGAGTTGTTCAACTGAAAAATCTATGGTCGAGAAAATGCCTTCGCCTCTTGAATATTTTGCCTACACTTTGGCTTTCCAGACATTGATGTGTGGCCCCGTCGTTTTCTATTCTGACTACATTAATTTTATCGAAGGCACCCGTGTTGATGGGGTAAGACTAAAAATCATAATTCTAATTATCCTTTTTATACATTAGGTATCTGCTAATAAAAGCCCTGTCAAAATCGGTCCAGCCATTTCAGAGATTAGCTGGAACAAACAGACAGACAAAAATTGTAAAAAATGTTAATATAAATACGGTAGTATGTACCTACCGTATTTATATTCATATGTATGTAGTAAAAAACAGTTATATTACAAACAGACACTCCAATTGTACTTATATGTATAGATAAAAATAAAAAATAAACTTAGATTAAAAAGACTAAAAGTCCTGCCCAGACGATGGTCATTTTGTAATCGAATATAAAGAGGAATCTGCACGAAATCCTTTTTTTAAACATAAATGTGAAGAATTGTCCCTCGTCATTCACATTATAAAAAAGACTCCTTGACCGAAATAAAAAAAAACATGTCATGTACAAGCAAACCGTCATTGCAGTTTTATTAAATAATAATAGCAATGCATCAGTGTATGAGTGGGTTATGTAGCTATATAGAGACCGTTCGCGCGAACATTGATAGTCGCTTGCAAATCTAATTGGGATCAATTTTGTCATGGTCAAATTCTGTTCGTTCGTCAAGTGCACAGAGTGAGTGCTTTATTGTATGATATCTAGTAACTATGTATGTAGGAATATAGTATTCCTCGAATGTAGCAGACCTTATATATTGAAGTCTGTAGTAATGCTGCTATTTTTTCTTTATTATTTTATTTGCTTAGACTTTGCAACACCCTTCTACGAATTTGAGTTCCATTTGACAAAAAGACATTTCACAATTTTTCTTATAATATACATCGATACAAGTACATACTGTACTGATATAATAAATTCAAAAATGTATGTGCTTATCAGTCTGTTTGTTACTTGACTTAGCGACTAAACGACTGAGCTGATTTTAATGTAATTTAACATGAAGTTAAATGTATATTTCATTAAATTCTGAGGTATATAATTACATTATCATTCATGGTCATCTTTTATCTAAAGAAATGCAGACACAGTCGCGGGTAACTGGTATACATAATAAACTAGTACCTACCTGAAAATATAAACATTCTAAACATTTGGTAACTGTAAGAAAACTTTCAGGTTGGCAAGGATAAATCTGTTTTGGAACCTTCCCCTCGTCTAGCTGTAATATATAAGGTGGGAGGTTCTGTGGCTGCTGCATTGCTTTACCTGACGCTGGCAAAGAAGTATCCGCTGGCAATATTAGAAGGTATCTTTATACTATAGTCATTGAGATATATGGTCACATGAAGTAGCAAACATTCTATGGAAACCCCAGTTCATGGCATTCATGCATGTAACCTAATTATTAGACCAATCTGGTCCACCTCGCAAGGTTAATAAATCGTAAATTGACGAGCCGAGAAATACTCACTGCACACAAGTTAAACCGACCTAGGTATTAGGGCAATGATACTCGGTTCCATTTAAATTGTTCATGAAGATGTAACTAGATAGATGTAAATATATGTCTTATGTTGTTTTTCGATAGGTATAATAGTTATATATTTATTTACTAAAGTAACAGTACCACCTACCTGTTATACCTGTAATAATAATAATAAATTTATTCCATTCAATTACTATTTACAAAAAATATTTAATAGTACACATCTAATAAGATAAGAGAATGGAACCTGTGCTAGGTAAACCTGTGTTATAGTATTCTTATATTTTGTATTTGTATTTTTACTACAGGATCTGCTTAGTTTATAACTAGATGGTACATTATAAGTCGTCTAGTCTTATTTATTTATTTAATTCTTATTTCAGAGTTAACTGACCCAGCTTCTGAAGTATCACGGTCATGGTCCGCAGTGTACTTACTATGGTACGCGTACTTGTCGACTTTAGTAGTTCGCTGCAAATACTACCACGCTTGGCTGCTCTCTGAGGCCATCTGCAACAACTCTGGCATGGGCTTCAACGGATACGATAACGACGGCAAACCCAAATGGGACAAGATGTCCAATATTGATGTGTTTGGATTTGAGGTATGTATCTATATTCTATACATATAAATAAAATTGGAGTGTCTGTTTGTAATATTCAAAAAACTTTTGTACTACATGCATATGAATATAAATACCAAACCAACCACCACCAAAATAACATTTTTTACAATTTTTGTGTCTATTTGCCCGGGGACTTTTTTTAGCAGGTAGCTGTAATAAGGAGTAACTTTTTACTTTTATTTTAGAAAATAAAGTTAAATTCCACGCGGACGAAATCTCGGAAACAGCTAGTAATAAATAATCCTAACGTTACAGCAGAATATGTTTCGGAGTTTCTCTAAAATCGTTTGAAAGTTGTTTGCTGCACCTTTCTCTCAACTATTTCAGCTGCCAAGCAGTTTGCTTATAAGATGCGTTTGGATTAAAGGATTTCATAAGGCAGTGAAATTACAGCAGTCCTCCGTAATGTCAACGCATTAAGGGTACCACGGACGACACATTATGACGTGATGTTCTTAGTTCTAGTACACATAGGCGACGGATACCACTTATTCAGTATATATTATTTACCCAGTGAAGCCGTTAGATTGTTTAAACTTTCTAAGTACTCGTACATAAAAAATCAAGTTAAGATTTATGGTTTTTGATAATTCTAGTTACCTAGGTACTACAAAATGATTTGGAAAGTATTGTAGTAGTAAGTGCCTGTCAATATAAACTTCTCCACAATGCTAAAATACTTATTTTATAGTATACAATAGTGGATATGTTGGAAAGTTTCCGTCTAAATTTGTGATTCCATAATAAGTGAGTATACAATAGCTGTATATAACTGATTCAAAATTTGCTGAAATACCAACGTATGCAACATACATTGTTAATTACTTGTGTTTTTTTTTTGTTATATAAGTACTTACAAATAATAATTTGTTCTATCGAAACCGTATCTTTGAAATGAGACGTGATTACACAGTTGGCGCAAAATTTTCGCACTGCGGTAGCGAGTTGGAACAAGAACACGAATGCGTGGCTACGCGGCGTGGCATACTCACGTGGTGGCGCCGCTTTTCGCACGGCAAGAGTTTACATGCTGTCTGCTGTGTGGCACGGGTTTTATCCCGGGTACTATATGACGTTCTTTGCAGGAGGAATATTCACCGTCACCGCTAGAAATGTACGTATTGTTCTAGCCACATCTGATATATTTTTTTAAATACCAATTCAAAAGTCAACCTCTCGCTTTGATTGATTGACTATTGAATTGGTATTTTTTACCTGTGCATGAAATGATGAATCTATGAAATTTTTGGTTCAGATAATATCTGAACTATCTAATTTCATTATGATATCGAATACAATATCGCTCATCCCAGTTTAGGAACTGTTTCATTGAACAAATTAAGTTGTAAAAACAATAGTAAAGTTAAAGATATAAATTTTTTGTTGGCCTAAAGTTATATTTTGTTCATATTTACTCGTGAACATTTAGACAATAATAATATTTTCTGACTTGTTGATTAGGTGCGGACAGTAGTCCGTCCTGTGTTCTTGGAAAGTCGTACTAAGAAGCTCTTCTACGATCTACTCTCTTTCATAACGACACGAGTTGCAATGACGTATGCGACCGTGCCATTTGTTCTACTGCACCTTGGACCGAGCCTCGCTTTTTACGGGTATGTTTATTTCTAATAAAGGCTTTGTATGAATATGCCTGAATTCATACAAATCCCGTAAAAGTATTTGTTCTTTGACTAATCGGTCATGAGTACTTTAAATTAGTTTTTTAGGACGTCATTTATTTAGCTGGCTTACTCCATCTATGGCGTGACTATTCTTTCTAATAGCTCACAATTTTGTTAAGTACTTCTTAAAATAATGTACTCTGTTTACACTCGCATGCCTAATCTGAACAGATTGTAAGACTATGTGATGTATTGTTTATTTTGAGCTTGGTTATAATTATAATTAATATGTATAAAGAAAATGGAAACCATAAGCTATATTAATTCGTATTCCTCGCTGTCCGAGATCTCTTTAGTATCACTTTGCACCATGTCTTATAATTAATAGATATGTTTTATTGTTCCAGAAAACTATATTACTCATTACATTTCATTGCAATAGGTGCAATGCTACTGCCAGCGTCAAAGAGACGTTCTGCTGCTTCCGCACAATCAAATCATGAGCTTCCTCAATTATCTTCCAAATCTAATAAGGATAATTTTTCTATACATGAGATCAATGGAGATAGCAATGGTAATCTGAAAATATCTTAATTACGTATTACGTTATATTACTTTTAGGAAAACAGTACATTTGTCAAACATGTCGGAGGTTTTATGTGAGTGTTTCACATTGTTACTTACTTTCAACATGACCAACTCAAAATCCTTATGCATGATTCAAATCAAAAGTGGTTAATTGGCACACATGGCAACGCGGAAATAACCTTTATTTCTATGTTAGAAGTTTCTAACTTTGAAACTCCGGTTCGATTGCGTATTCTTCGTGGAAGATAACAGATACATATTACGCTATATCATATAATCTACGTATGCGTTTCACTCTGATGAACGCCTGTTTGGCTATCATAACTATTGGATTTTCCTAATTTCATTTTTTATTTAGTAACTAACATAGATTTGATGACTTTAATATTGTGCTGGAAAATATATATAATATGAACAGTTACTTGCCTATTCAGAATCTATATTAGAAAACGTTTACCAAATGGTTAAATGAAAAATGATTATTAATATTTTTTTTACTAGGAATATGAATCTTTGATTTTCTTTTCTACTATTAATTTTAAGAGCAGGTAACACAAAAATACTGTATTTTATTGTGTAAAAAGTGAACGATGCATTCCATATGGAAATTAGAGAAACGTAAAAAAAATGTATCTCTTGCAATAAATAATAAAATCGATTACTTTGTAACTCTGTTAATACCAGTACATTCCAGTTTCATTCATTTTGACATTAATGTCTGTTTATCGGCGCATTATTAATTGACCAGTATTATATTAATATTTATTAATTTGCAATAGGTTTTTTTAGTTACCAAGTGGTCAGTCTGATTTTAATAACAATTTAAAACAGGTGTTTATACCCAGTAAAAGCTTTTACTAAATTAAATAATGGTTTGAAGACAAACAGAATATCGTTGATTTTTATAACTATGCACTGGATAAATATGTTATATCTACTGTACGGTATCGAATACGCCGCACTCGCCCTAAAGACTTCGGGATGAAGGCTAAACGATTACAGTAATTTCTTTAATAACTGTCAATAGTTAAAAAGATATATATATATTATGGATGTTGTAAAAAATATTACCATGTTGAGGCAGTGGGAATATAGCCTGTGTGATTTCGAATAATAATATTATAGATTTGTAATTTCAAAATATGTACGTTAGTTCATTATTGTGCAATCATTCACGCATCCTTAACAACTATAACACCTGATTTGACCTTGATTCAATTAATAAATACCCACCAATTTTCAACCAATTGCCATTGTATTCATAGTTGTTAGTATGTGCTAATGAGTCCAGAAGAGCAGCGATGGAGTCATCGAGTTACATTTCTCGACAAATTATTATTCTGATTTGAAATATGGTGACGGCTTCCTGTAATATATCTGTTGTACGACAATACGTAACTCTTACTGACGAAAGTTATATTACAGATGTATATGTAAAGCATATTTTACTTTATCCCTTTATAATCGCGCATACTTGCGAAGCACTTCCGTATAGGAGTCATGTCTTAAGCGTATTAATAGAATGAAAACATGGTTAAGACAAAATCGTATATATTATTATTTAATATATGAATTCTAAGCTATTACTATTAACTTACAACTCGTGTGCGAAGGCTATTTTTTCTGAAGATTTTTTATTAGATTATTTCTAAATCTTCAGTCTTTGGTCATTCTTAGGGTGCGTACTGTACGCAACTAATGTTAGCGTTCCAGTTCTATAAGTAGAGTTAGTCTGAAAGATAAATGAACATTGAGCAAGAGTCATAATATAGAATCCAATATGTTCGAACATAATAACGACAAAAATCTTTTGAAAAACCCTGAAGCAGTAAAAGAATACTCGCAGAATGCACTCGATAGAGGAAGAACTTACTTCATTTATCTGTAGGTTTATTAATAAACAGAAATAATCGATATTACTTTTGGTATGATAACAGTATTAGACCCTAATTATTTTTAGTTGTTTAATTGGAACACACTTTAAATCCTGAGGATGTTCACTGGCTATACATTACTGATACGATTATTATTTATGTATTTTCTATTTAAGATCTGTAATACGTATTTTGATGTTTTCAGATGTATACTAAAAATTATATATTTAATTATTTCCATATAATATTACGTAAAGTCAATATTTATAAATACTAACATTAGTACTAGTTGGACATAGTTTAGCAGAAATGACTCCACCCACAAAAGGCTTTTGAGCCCTTTTTTTTAATAACTTACGAAATTCATAATATGAATGACATACGATTTATTAATTTATTTATTAAATACATAATATAAATGATACTTGACTTGTCATAGAAGGTGTCGACATTCAATATAATAACAAAATACAACATCACTGAGGAATTATGATCAATAACTCAAAATTACCTAGTAATTATTAATTTGTGATTAGGGTCCTATTTCCGGTCCTATTTGCTAAATTACGCCCAGTGTATTTTAACCATTCACTTCACACATTATCGTACCTGTAAATGGTTATTTTATATTTAATAATAAACTGACTAATTTAGACTAATAATGTCACGTTTCGGTGACAAATTTATCACTATATAATTTGTGATTTAGATACTGAATGAAGCGTTGTTGTATATTGATAACATTTTATCCAATCAATAGATTTCTATATTGTTCCATATCATAAGAATTTAAGATAAAATCTTTTTGTTAATAAATTATATCGACGGCCTCAGTGTTGTACCTGTTTAGCACACTGCTTTTAGCTCTGATGGTGGCGAGTTCGATTACTCGCACGATGCAAAAATTTGTAGTCAGTATGAATTGTTTGCGGCGTTCTGGGTGTTTTCTATGTATTAACAACAAATGAATCTTATCAGTAAATTCTTATCTGGTATCTTTATAACCCATAACACAAGGTCTGCTTAACTTGAGACTGGGATGGCGTTATGTGAATTATGCAAGATTACTATTATTATGTTTAGAGATAAAACTAACAACTTGAACGAATGACGCACAAAAAAAATTATTTACTTATTAAGATGCATTCGGGTAATTATTAAAATTCTGTGTAACACAGCGCGGTCCTTGTTAGCATGCTTGAAAATTTGAAAAACAGCTATTTTGAGACGGCGGTTGTAGCCTCTAGGACACGGCCCTCGAGCGTACCACGTGCTTATTGCATACATAACTATTTCTGTCAATATTCAGATCAATGATAACATAATGTTACTGTTACCTATCCCTTTTTATCAAATAGAATTTTCGTGATGAAATAATCTAGTAATCTTCCAGATTTTATAATTCATCGAATGCACCTTATATAATAATACGTTGAGGTAGTAGTTATTATAAATATTAATAATTATTTTATTAAATGTTGTTATTGCCTGTAAATAGATTGCTAATGAATTATCCAATTAGAAACTAAGTTGTTTCTTCTGTTACACAAAATGGGTGGGTACGTCACGCCATAAATAAAGTGCCTACTCAGTAAAATGCATATAAATTGTTGATGTTAATCTGCGACATAATGTCCGGTCGGCACCCGATTAAACAGAGGTTCACCTTTTTTTTAAAAGTTCACATACATAAAATTAAATTGATATCACTCCACCTGCTTTTTTGGTCATTGTAATCAGTTTTAACTAAAATAATTTAATTCTAATTATCCTATTTACTTTTTAGGATCCTATAAACTTTGTTTAAATGGAGGTAATAACTTTGGGAACTTGGATGACGAATGATTCATTAGTTGTTGACAACAATAAAACGATTTTAATAAATAAAATAGAAACTTTACTGCCAAAAGTCAAGGTTATTTGACCAATATGTCGTATATTTTTTACAAATTTGATAGATATTATTATTGATCATACATATATATACGAGAATTCATTATACATATATTGTAAAATCGATAAGAAACCTACGTAATTTAAGATTGTATTCCACAACAAACTGACGTTAATTGTGTTTCAGTTGGTATGGGACCAATAATCTTTTGGATAGAAAAATAAGTTTCAAACACAGTTCAGTCATTTAGAATTGTCTCTTTACAAGATTCATAAAGGGATTTGTGTTATACCTAGAATCCGCCGTATTGTATAAAGAATCGCTCTACCAACGTGATGTACATTCACTATACAAAGCAAATCTTATTATAAATCGTGTAAAGCAAATTTAGTAAATATCCTGAATTGTGATGAATTAGTACCACTTCCATATTTATGTCCATTGAAAATTAACCGAAGTACCTGAATTGAAAATTTTAATGTATAATTTTATTATATATACTGATTATTATAGTTATTTATATTTATTGTTTAAAGTCCCCAAATGACTAAACCCGCAGATTCTTAGTTGCATGTAGGCATCCACTTTCAGAATACATATATAAGTGTACCTACTCTTTTTGTCAAAATCTGGTACCAATTATGAATGCCAGAAACTTGTCGCTAAATTTTATTTTAATGAATTGAAAGTGCCATTATTTTTGTTTTCAATTATAAAAAGTATGTACAATAACATTTAAAGGTAATGACTTCCGAGATTGAAATTCATGAATGTCAATTATTTGTTCTTGACTTCATCATCAGATGATATACTTTAATAAATTGGATAAAAGTAACTAGTCCTTGTCTAACCTTTATACAACATCTGTTACTTGTGTATATGCCAAATTTCAGGATGAATCGTTGAGGGCAACACTCAAAAATAATTTGAATTGTTAGTAAGAAAAAGTAATATATATTCATATCCAGTCTGAAAATTAGTAATATTATTTTAGTCTATTTATATCTAATTAGTAATATTATTTTAGTCTATCAATGCCGATTTTTTATTGAAGTTTATAATTATTGAGATAGAGCTATTATTTACTGAAAGATTAACTAGTTATTTTTTAATTATTGCAATATTGTTGGGAACGTTTTTAATATTTCGTAATTTACATTTCTATTGAATTGAACATTTTTTTATAAAGAAAAGGTCTGTTAAGTTATTACAAAAATACTGTTGTTATACAAAAATATCATATATTTATGTAACTGCCTGGTAAATATTGATACTGGCAGTAGGCAAATATATATGTATCAGTATATAAGTTGTAACTGGTAAATTTAGTAATTAGTGACGAGAGGGAAGTTAATACCTCAACATGGATTTGTATAACTTTGTTAATATTTAAGTAATGTAGATATTTTACATGGTTGCAAATAAATTTACATATATTTTAATATACATTTCAATGGTTTCATTAGGAATACCTTTTAAAATGTTTTCTTCAGCATGGGATAGCCCACCGTTAGACATATGTATCTCCAATCCTTATCTATACTGCAAGGAATGTGGCCTACTTATGCCATACTTTCCCAGCAATGGTTACTATATTATCGGAACATCTGGTTGGTGCCTATATTTCTTTTGGCCGCACTTGTTCCATCTGCCATGGTAGCGGCGGTATATATGACTCGTCCATGACTATTTTAGCTTGGCTGTCGGGTATCCTAGATTAACTACTTGAGTTTTGGTTCTGATAGTAATGTTTTGGATTCTGTTTTGCAGGTTGCTTACTTAGCTCCATATTTCTCTGTGCGACCTGGAGTTTTTCTATAGGCCCTGCGGCGAGAGGTCTGGTATCCGTCTGGTCTGGAGGTATCCGTCGTAACCAGAAGGATACACTTTTCTTTTAGCTTTAAGATCTTTAATCTTAGTCTTCAGCAATTGTGGTATCTTTGACAGGAGCCACCATTAAGCTTTCCAAATGCTACACCCAGAATTTTCGCCCCATTTCTGCCTTAAGTGAATTCTGATCTAGTTTAATTAATTATACCAAATTTATATATATCTGCACTAGTATGAGAGGTTTACCTTCTAAGAACGTGGAATTAGAGGAATAATTTCTGGTTTTCTACATATTCATTTAGAACCCAATCATAAGTCATGTGTTAAATTTTTCAGGAATATGTTGCATATCTGCAGATTTACTTATGTTAACTATATCATCAAGCAATTTTAACTTTGTTATTAATTTGATATTACAGTTCATAGTATACTCTACATAGCATGTATTTATACAGAGATACAGTCATAGATCATATCTGTATGAATGTGCCAAGTGTGCATACAACATGAAAGCACTTGACCTTAACAGTAAATTTTATTGTACTGCAAAAGGCTAAATAGATGTAAATCATTAAAAAATAATGCCTATATTCCTACAATTAATAGATCATACAATATAAAAATGCATACTTATTTATTGTTTTTACTCAATCTAATATGAATAAAGGCTTGTCTTATACAGTAAAGTGCACCAGGTAGGTCATTGGTTTCTTTTAATCTCCTTTGTACTTCTTTAAATATAGGTACTTTAGGGGTAATACTAATTACTGAAACAAAAAAAATCAATATTAATAGAAACAATAAAAAAGTTTCTTTTAGAAGATACTACACATAATGAATAGGTAATATAAAAAACTTATCATGATACTTTGTTAGTTGTTTTTGCCTAAAAGTAAATGCTTAAATTTAGTACAGAAGTTATTAAGCACACTGTGCTTTCTACATGTAAATAAGGTATTAATTACTAATAAAAAGAATTTAATGGAATCTTATTTATCTACCTTAAGGTAGCTGTAGTGAATAAAAACTGGTAAACCAGTACATGAAGTTTAACATAAGCATGGTGAAGCCAGAAATTATTTATATGTACTTATGTTATGCTTGTTTCATACTTACAATCATATTTACCCAAATTACAGTCTCGTGATAAACTTAGGGAATAATGATCAGAATCCTTTTTGTATTCAGTAAAGAACTGTATAAAAATTGCTTGCTTTTCATTGCTTCTTGATTCAATGGTATAATACATTTTTAAATATTTTTTATAATATTTCTTAGCCATCAAAAATGCTTCATGTGTTTCCTTTATTTCTTGAGAGAGAAGTTTCTGATCTGCGAGTATTATAAACATTTTTTAAATTAAATGTTATAGTAATAACATAGGGTATTGGTATGGTAATATTAAAACTGCAGTAAATTAGATAAGAGAGAAGTATGATCGGAGTACAAAGACTGGACCGGGTAAAGAACAGTGATCTTAGGTTGAGGACGAAAGTAACAGATATATTGTCAAAAATAGACCAGCAGAAGTGGTGATGGACTGGCCACATGATGCGAGATACTAGGGAAAAATGGAGTAGAAAAATAACAGAGTAATATCCTAGAGAAGGAAAGAGAAAGAGGGGAAGGCAGATGATGAAATGGGAAGATGAGTTGAAGTCAACTGTGGGCCCAAAATGAAGAAGTGTTGCACAGGATAGGAGTCAATGGAAGTCGATGGAGGAGGCCTATGACAAAAGGCACACTGAACTTAGAGACATATTATAAAAAAAAGAAAAGAATTTGTATACTATAGTTAAAAATATATATATATATATTTGTAAATTTCAGAATAAATGGCTTATTATAAATAAGATAAATTATCATTGTAGCTGTCCCTTAATTCCTAAATGGCTCTTTAGAAATTAAGGGACAGCAATAATCTCTCTAAATACATACACATACATAGTATTGTGCTCAAAGAAGCATTGAAACTATATTTTATTGAGGCTATCCATTCATCCAAGTCACGCTAAGAATAATGTAGGTACCTAGTATATATTCTAAGAAACATTAGTACCTTGTTTACAATGTTCATAACGTGACTGCCGCTGTGCAATATCTTCCAATTTAACATCAATGTCTTGTCGGAGCTGTTTATTTTTATCTATGAGATTTTTAAGTTCATCGCCGTCGTGATTTTGTGTATTAATGAAATTGTAATTTATGTTTTGAGGTTTAAAGCCATCCTCCAACAACTTCACGACACGCTCATTGACATTATCAACTTTCACTTGAAACTCATGAAAGCTTTCGTTCTCGACACTATGTAAATCAAACTGAAAATCCCAATTATCCTCTATTACACTCATTATGGAGAAACTTAATAAATCGGTCCGACGCTTTACAACTGTCTAATATTGAAATACAAAGGTCTTTCTTGCACAACAGTTCTCAAATTACATGAATCGAGTTCTATAAAATTATTATGAAGAATTTAATCATAACAAAATGAGCAACGACTGAATTCAAATTTAAAAACTGGTTCCGTTGACATTACTTGACATAGTAGGGTTGTCCACAGAATACATGTACGTATTTTAAATAGAGATTGAAAACCGGGCCCGGCGCGGCCGGGCCGGTTGCCCTTTTAGACATCCACCGGACCTGGCCGTTCCTACCGGGCCGGCTAGGTAAGAAATCTGCGGCACGGAAGCCCCAACTTATAAAAAATTGGCATGGCAAGCGCTGCGAACCGTGATGTTTCCGTTCTGACGCGCTACTGGCCGCTCTCCATTCCTCCCGCGCACCACAATCACGGAAATTTCATAGTTACACATTCAGTCACGGAACAAGTTTAGACTAAATCCAGACATTTCATCCGCGCGTGGAAGATTATTTCTATCCTAAACTTAATTACTAAATACTAATGTTTTCTTAAACTTAATTAGTAACACTAATGTTACTATTCCGTTCATAAATGAACTAACTAATATATATAATCTATATTAAAAACTCAAAAAAAAACTAAACAAAGTGATTTTGAGAGTTTGAAACTGAATGTTGCCGGAGTCGGCCGAGTCGAAAAACATACCGGGTTGCAATCTCTAATTTTTAACTTTACAGCCATACACACTAGCCTAGAAGAAATCCGTAGACAGGGTAAAACTCTTGTATTAACTATTTAAAATATTTCTTACGTATCTACGTACTTACGTACATGAGATTTTTTAACTTTGAAGTAACTGCGTATGTCCAAATTTGAGTACTATACGGTTTATATACGATAGATTGATAAAACTTTATTTGCGTTAAAGGACATTTACAAGTTACAATAATAAAAATAAAAAGATGTAAAGTTAGTGTATCTACATTGGTCAGTTAACAATATACAGTATAGGCAGATAAAACGTATGCATAGTGTGAGTGCACTGCCGTTGCTCGACATACGCGAGTATCATTTTCATCCGGTTTCCATAAGCGGTAGGTATTTAGTATTTATCTATTTCTAGTATATAGGCGTTAAGTAATATTCTATAGAAACTATTTTGAGTTAAAAAGTTTATTTAACTTATATCAACGATATTTCTGGGTATATTTGATTAAATATCTAAAAATCTTCATTTTTTATCACTTTACATCCTTAGGTTTATTTACTCTACTGATGAGTCTGTCAGTGAATTATTAGCCATCAATGTCATATCTTCAACTCTAGATGAATTGTCATTTATCTATATCTATTAGTGTATGACTTATTTTTATTGCTTATATTTAATCAAAAATTACCTTCAATTATTAAATACTGCAAGTTTTAGTATTAAAACTATTTTGCTATGAGGAAAACAAGCTCTCTCATAATAAAATTTATATATTTTATTTGACTACTACACCATGGAAGAATAAAAGAAGAATAGGACGTCATTATATGAGACTGCTAATAATTTTAGGTATAGTTTTCTAGTATATTTAAATAAGGTATTTTTACATAATGCAATGAAAATAGTAATAAATCATTCCAAACATTTATTTATTACAGGTTCTGAAAAGTATTTACGGGAGCTGGTTAACGAATCGCTTTTTAATCATTATGTTTTATAGCATTTACAATGAAAAACTAACTACAACAACTAAGGGTGTTCGTGTAATTGATAAGAATTTTATGTCTATCGAGATCTTTGTGCATATTTTGTCCAATGGGCCATTGTCTAAGCTGTTTCAAGAATCAAGCTAATGCTGAAGATACGACATCTCAAAGGAAAAAAGATGGTATATTAAACTTTTCTTTATTATAAAAAAAATACACTATTCATGAAATCAAATTGAAATAGCCAACTACCAAGTGCCAGAGAGAACTGAAATCCATTGGTTTCTCTTGCTTTATTCATGCATATATGTTTGTGTCATTAATCAGCTTACTATCTTTATTATTGTAGCTCTGACCTGTATTTTTCTGCATTTAGATTATATATGTTTTATAAATCAGACATTCTTTTACATTTCATACCTACACACATGTACCATGCCCCTCCTGTCATTTTTACACCAATACTTTCAAAGGAACTTATGAACCTCTGTGACAAATGTATCCCACCCCACACATTTCAAGTATATTTATTTTACTTTAGATCTTTTATGTTAGTTTTTGTGATTTCTATATATGTGAATAAAATTTCTTTTCATTAATTTCAGAGATGACAGAAATTGTCACTACAAACCAAGTGCCTGCTGTCATGGTGTCAGATTATCTTCAAGAAGAACCACTTCTTCAAGATAATGAAAATAGTGTAACTTGCTATAGAAATAATACCAGTTTACAAAATACTAGTACAGCAACTTCTTTTGGAGAGCCCTGTGCTATGGAAGTAATTAGTTTGCATAAAACACAGATAACTTGTGAAAAAACTCCTAAATTATTTTATCAAAAATTACCATCAATGCCACGTACAATGCCTTCACTGGGTTCCAGTGATCCAAGAATATCTGAGACAAAAATAAATCAATTATTTGACCAATACAAAGATTCACTAGAAGATACAATTTTAGCAGAAGGTATAGAGAATCTATGTAATGATTTGCAATTGAATCCTGATGATTTTAAGGTTTTAGTACTTGCTTGGAAGTTAAATGCTAGTCAAATGTGTCGATTTACTAAGTCTGAATTTGTACAAGGGCTGAAGGATATGAAAACTGATTCTATCAAAGGAATACAACAAAAATTGAATGAAATAACTAGTGAATTGAAAACAGATTCTGAGCATTTCAAAGATTTATACAGGTTCACATTTAAATTTGGACTTGATGTTAGTACAGGCCAACGCATACTACCAACAGACATTGCCATTGTCCTATGGCGTCTAGTATTTACCAATAATGAACCTCCTATACTAGATAGATGGTTGAGGTATCTAGAGAAAAACAATCACATTAGAGGTATTCCAAAAGATACATGGTATATGTTTTTGAACTTTTGTGAGTTTGTAGGTAATGATCTCAGTACCTATGATGATACAGAGGCTTGGCCTAGCCTTTTTGATGATTTTGTGGAATATGAAAATGATCAAATGAATCAGAATGTAACAAAAAACGATATAAAGATGCAAGATTAATATTCTATGTATGCCAAATTTTACTATTTAGGTACTTAAATAAGATATTGAGACTGATAATCCATTAAAAATACGTCATAATATGGTTACTCTAGTAGCATGATGTGGCCCTAAGAGTAAGATAATGGATGTTTTAATATTGAAACGAGCAGGAAGAATGTGGATGTAGTGTATGTAGGTGTACTAATGAGATTCAAAATAATTTTAATGTACATAACATTATCTATATGTGGTATAAATTAATTGCAGAAGTATTGTACTTTTGTGTTTAGTTTTAGTTTTAACAATAAACATTCCAGGAATGGAATTAGCCAAAATCTGTATATAATAATTCTAAATACCTGTGCAAAAATTGCTTGAAATATTAAATTATAATCTAATGGTCTACTATCTATACCATGTATTTTTCAGTTATTTTCTTGCCACCATCATTTAGATATTGTATCAACTGAAAATTGTTTAAACAGAAAAATATACATTCAATTTGGTTCGGATGAATCCTTTAATTTACTACGGTACATTAAAATCGAAATCATACATAAAGAGTTATGATTTATAATGCAAAATGGATGTTATTAAAAATTAAGTTACACTTAATATTATGTGGATTGATTTTTTTAAACTAGTAATTGTAAATAGCTCAACAGACAGTTTGGAACAGCAAACTTTCACAATAAATGACAATTTCTTATCACTTTTATTATTTTTGCTGCACAGCAAATTAACTTTTTTTATTAAATAAATAGGACAGAGCAACTACTAATATATTGGGGCAACTGAATTGTCAGTAATGGGGTCTAATAATCCATTGCTAACAATATACCATGTTGCGTACACCTCCATCCCTGGTAACCATTGTTTTAACTTCTTCATGAATCCACCACGATAACTGATAACTGAAGTCAAGGTCAATTACCTTGACTTCATGCTCATCCTGTCATCTTTCACTGGTGCCACTCCAGCGTATAGTGTTAACGTTGGCGGGTTTGGCACCATTACGTTATCACCTAATAAACTTAAAAAAAAATCTATGACGAAATTTGTTATATTAACTAAAATATCCCGTATATAGTAAAAAAATATAAATATAAACTTTTATCTTTGGTCCTATTTTAATAGATTTTTAATTTTTCCTATAGAATGTACATGTATTAGACATATATGTATATTAGGTAGGAAATTTTTAATAATATGTCTTATTGATAGAATCGAAAGTCGAGTGGTTTAGCACATCACTTTAATTCCGATGGTCACGGGTTCAATTCCTTAATGGACCTTCCTTGTACTTGGTTTGTTCTTAAAATGTGCAAATTGTTGTGTAAGAGATTACTGCAAATTTTAGCGTATTAGCTGGTCTGTTGAAGTTTCGATTGTACTAATTAAAACTTGAGAACACTACCTTTCGTATTCAGGAGCGAGCTTCGCGGTTTGAGTTCGCAGTACTTTTCTTTATTTTTTATACTACTATAGTGGCAAATAAGCATAAAGCCTATGATTATAAAGCTATAATTACACCTACAGTTAGATAATAGGGCGACGTATCGAGTTGTGATCGAGTATTGTCTAGTATAGAAATAAATACGGCTTATTAAGCAATTTGTCAGGTTTCCACAGATCGACCAGTCTGTGTTAAACCATGGACTGATTCGTTTTTATATGAAAGTAGGAAAAAAATGTCTAAACAGATAATTAAGTATAATTGTGGAAAGCTTTCTTTTATAAAAATTGGCAAGGCGTAATTTGATCTGCATTTGTTTAACAAAAAAAATGGTGTAGCAGTTTAGTCCTGGTAGCACTATGTCATAAATTGTTACGATATTTAATTATCAGACGATACATGTAAGTTATTTGGTTTCAATAAATGATAAATACAAGTTTCAATATTTACGAATGATTAGGTAATCGGGGTACCTAATCTGTTCACCTGTTGACAGGAGACAGACTTAGACATGATCTCTATCGATCCATTCCCAATTCGTGATCGACTACTTACAGCATTTTATGCATGCACGTAGCTAATTGCTGCACACAGATGGGTAGGTAAATCATATATACAATAGTATTAATAAAATTTTATTTTAAACAAAATAATATAGTTGCAGCCTGCCAGTGGTCGCTCGGTGTTGAGGCGCGGCGGTCGCGAGGCGGGCGAGCATATCGCAACTTCACAAGGCACTGCCGCGCGGGGCCCGCCTCGCGCCCTATTCTTTACGTACTCCTTTCTACTGCAAGCGTCTCGACAAAATAAAACTATAGCACGAAGTGGGACCTACTCAGGGGCCACGCGCGCCTCGCATCATCTCCACTGATATACACAAAATATGATAATAATATACAATCATCTCTAGACGTAAATCTGATTATATTAAAAAAGCTGAAAATTTATAAATCCATAATATACATTTATTATAACAATTCGGATGTTGAGCCGAAGTTATAAGAATCATCTGTCTTCATAAAAACCACCGTTACATTCTGCGCAACTTTCCATAAGTACTCTTCCCTACGTTAATACTTGATGCATGAGTAACAAAGCTAATATTGAAGGTATGTTGTGTAATGACCGCTATAGCGACAGTTTACATTCCGAGGCCGTCCCACTATGGGGTATGGTCATAATAATAATATAATCATAAATTATGAGTAAATAAAATACCAACGTTTCAGTGTTCCTCAATTATTCACATTTCAATGCCGTTCACATTTCCTTTTTACTATCGTAATATAGAAACACTCTTTCGTCAGTCGATAGAATTGGTCACTAAAGCAATAAATTATAAACTAAGCATAATTAGATACAGAAAGTATTGCAGACAATAAAAGAATTAACATTAAAAACATATACCACCGAAACAACTGTTGATCTAAGCAAATAAAATATGACTTTAGTCAGAGACTAATCACAAACATTTTTATAAACATGTGTACTGTATACGAAACTACTAAAAATAAAAACATAATTTTGCATTTAATATAGGAAACAGTACTATTAATCGTTATAACCATATTATTATAAACACTAGCAATCTGTTACGTGGGTCACCAACTCGGACGTCAGAGGAATGGTAATGGCAATAAAAATTTAAATGGTGGCTTAGGCTTGGATTCCTCAATAACGCCAAGTTGTTGATCTTCGCATCAAATTAGTACATGAGAGCCTTGTCCATCGCACAACGTCGTCGTCCAGTAAAATATAACAAAGGTATTAATAACGTATTATTAAGATTTCCTGATTAATCGTAATCCGCAAGTTTTCATATATAAATTTATTAAATGAATTAACAGTACAATTATTATTCTGGAACTCTACATGACTATCTGTATATAAAATTTTCCTAGTGAGATGTAAAAATTATCCAACACAGTCATAATTTCAATGATTTGTTTCATTAAAAATATGAATTTGAAGGAAAGCAACAGTAAAATAGTTTAAAATAGTTACTGTACAATCTAGTTATCTAATATTATATTAGTTTGCTCCTTAAATTGCTTCATATAAAATTACAACATAATTTCTGCTGTACTTATAAGATATGGGATGGGAATGTATGTATATATGTCATATAGAGTTCCCACATAGGCAATATATTGTATGGCAGTAGTTGTAGAATATTAATTTACTTTGATCAGGCCCAGCTGTGCTTCTTCACTAACAGGCAAAATATACATTTTCTTATTTGGAAATGATGAAGCAATAATACACTCGAGCTCTCACTTGGTACAGATCCCAAAAATCAGGATTACATTTTACATGCATATCTGTTGATATAGGTTTTGGAAAGGCCTATCCTAGCTAAATTACAAATTGTAGTGCCAATTTACTCAATCACTTTTAGGACTTTACCGATCGCAATAGTTTTATCTGAAACAAAAAAAAAATTGTATTTGGCTGTAAATTATATCTATGCTTTAGTCTAGAAATTATTCAGTCACATAATGGAATCACAAACTTACTTTCGTCTCTTAGTGTGAATCTGCCCATTTGGGCAAACTTCTTAAATGGTTCTAAACAAATGACTCCTGCACATTCTATCCTCATGATGGCCACTTGGTCCTGTTTGACGAAGCGCGGCCTCGTCTTTGACTTATCGCCCGTTTTCTTATCAACCAAACAAATTAGCGCCTGTGGATGTAAAGTCAATCGCCAATTAATTATTTATGAATCTAAATCACATTTCTAATCCTTTTAATTTGTAGGAATTAATAAAGAGTTAGTATAATTACCTTCACAGTAACTTCTTCAGCTGCACAATGTATGTGCATAACAGCAGAGTAACCAGCGCAGATAATGGACTTGTGCTCCAAAATTACAACTTGAGCATCAAAAACCTGTAAAAGGAAATAAATTACATATCATAGCTGGATATTAACACCTTAGAAAAATAGTCGACAAGTCGAGTCATGAAGAAACATATAGAGAAATTTCCTATTCAGATTATACTTATCAAGAATAATAAAACAACTGCTATATAACGATAAACACTAAACAAAATAAAAAAATCTTTGCTATTATTATTATTATTATTTACAATTTGAAGTATTTAGATAGAATCTATGAACAAAATCATTAAGGCCCATTAAGTTTACGACACTAGGCTGCAGACTGTCTCAACTAACAATTTAATCAAAGTAATCTATTTTCTAATCTAATGCACTTATTCCATCACCTTGAATATGCTAAAACTAAACTTACTCTTCCAGTGGTGATAGGTTCAGCAATATCACATAGAACAAAACCAGGAGATACATCTTCCTCTTCAATTCCTTTGAGTTTTACTTTGACATTTTCACCAGGACCAATAGATGTCACTTCAATGTCATCAGACCATAACTGGTCTACATTAACTTGTACCTATAAAATATAATAAATTAATGAAAACAATTCATCAATTACACAATTCTTACTAACATATTCTAATTTTCTGTTATTTTTTTGTGTGTGCATATTTTTATACATTATTATATTAATTCTAAAATTGTAACAATAATTAAATTAAAATAATAATTATTTATTTACATGAATAAATTCTATAAAAACTATATGCTAATAACAATTTCGCCAAATACAATTTAAAAGCATTCTTACTCAATAATTACATATCCCCAGACAATTTATTGTGTAATGAGTTGACAGTTTCCATGTTCTAGCGGTCTACGCACGATTCTAACATTTTTATTCAAGAGTATGACTGTTTTTATAGACCTGAGTATATTTAGGTGCATTATGTATGCATTTACAAAAATAAGGTATGTAAATATTTGTATCAATTGTCTAGTACCCATAAACGAGGGTGCATAGCTTGAGTCTAGCAGCACTTTGTGAATTGCCCTGTGTTACTATTATTATTTGGTCCATCTAGTATAAATGAATAAAATTACATAGGAAATATACATAAGGATTTTTTAAACCTACAACTTACAAATTGGTTAAATAACTAATAATAGAAGATGTCACAAGAGCTCTTTCTTTTTAGTAGAATTTTACTGACAAACATGTAAACTAAAAAGTAATTTGTCAAATTTACTTACCCTGTTAGGCATAAGGAATAATGTGCTGCCTTTTCGTGTTGTACCCGCTTCAACTTTGCCCATAAGGACCGTGCCCATATCTTTGTATTTATCAACTACTGGCATAATAAAGGGACCGTCCATTTTACGGTTCAGCGACGGTAACTCATCGATAAGCTGGATAAAAGAGGGACCTCGATACCAGGGACATATTTCCTCAGTTACCTAAATAATATTGAAATGTTAAAAAATTAAGAAACTAACAAAACAATTTGTTCTGAAAAATACAGTTCTGTTACCTATAAAAAATGTGAAATTTTATTTAATATCACAATAATGTATGAACTATATATATATATACATATATTTGTATATATATATATTTTCTTTCCACAGACATAAAATCTGTGTTCTTATTATGTTAACCTTTTACATTTCTGTTTGACTTGAATAAATCAGTAAATCTGTTTTGGTCAGGCCCCAATAAACAATTTTATGGATGTCAATATATTAATACAAAAGTAAAATAATAATAAAAAATTACCAAAATTAATTGTTGAATATATTTAACATTGTACATTCTATTACAATGTTGACTTACGATCGCAATGCAAGTTATTTTGATGAATTCTGACACTAAGATATTCAGTATTTTATAGAACATTTTTTTACATTCTTTAAACTGCTATATCCATATGGCTATGACAGCAAAGTAATGAGTAGGGCTCGGAATAGGTAGTGCAATTTTATGTACTTGCAGCAAGAAAGTCAACGAAAGTATGACATGGATAAGACCTAATATTTGTTTGATTTATGGGAACTTAAATCATGCAATGCAATGCAATTTATATAATTACAAAATCATGAAAATTACACTTATTGTTTATTTAGGTTTAAGTTTATAGGAGTGAGTAGAAGTAAAAAAACATGTTCAGATATATATAGCAATTTAAAAGATAAATTAGGGTGCAGTAGAGATGAAAATATATTATTTTGTAAGTTCAATATAAAATTTACAAACTATGAAAATAGTACGTTATAGGCATATCCATACTATTGATGTCACAAAATCGCAAGTACATATAATTGCACTACCTATTCCGATCCCTAGTAATGAGCAAAGGCTAGTAAGTAATATTTACCTTTGTCCATTACAACTTATACTCACTTTTTCCAATAAGCCTTGTCCGGTTTGACCAGAAACAGGTAAGAAAGACAGATCCTTCGCTGGATTAAAGCCCAACTTTTTGAGGTATGGCAGGATTTTGTCTCGACATTCATTGTATCTGAACAATAAAAAATATTATTGACATAAAAGTCTGTAATTCATGCATTCTTATGTAAATTGTTATAATAGCAGTCAAAATAGAGAAGTATTATGACACCTTTCACTTTTGGAGTAATTAAGTAATATTCAAGAGGTGTACTTAAAAAGATTTATCTGGAAAGCCTTCTATTAGAAATGTGCTAAGTTCCAGAAATAAAAGGGAATCCTTATCTTGTATTGAAATATATTTAATATTTTTTTAATTGGAGCAGTATAAGAATACAGCTTGAAGGTACATAAAGAAAACTTAATAATAAAGTTAACTTTCAAATTAACTTAAAGATTATAAATATTCTAATCAAGTATACTGCATTGAATTGTGAAGGTATAAATACCGCTTACAGTTTAAAGAATGGTTAGTGAATTATAATACAGAATCTAATTTATCATTTAATTAGCATGTAATCAACAGCCAAGGTAAGTAAGTTCCCAAATGATGTAATACAATTATCTTAGTTTATACAGGGTTATCTGACGAGTGATCGGAAGTTTGTACAAGAGTGATAATATGTGATAGTCACCTTTTTTCGTCCCAGTTGACAGTAGGGTCATCCATCTTATTCACAAGTGCCACTAAGTGTTTCACGCCCGCTGTTTTAGCCAACATAGCATGTTCACGAGTTTGCCCTCCTCTATCGAAACCAGTTTCGAATTCACCTTTACGCGCAGATATGACCTGAAATTGATATATTTATTTCTATATAACAAGTTTTATTTTATTTATAAAAATCATTGATCGAGAACACACAATATTTTAAAGTAAAAAAATCTAAAGTACTTATTGGATTTGGTGAGCAAGTCCGAATCACTACTTATTTATTTTTTAACGGTACAGAAAACATGACATTTTTTAATAAGAACTATACAAAAAAATGGTTTTAGAATCTACACTTTAATTTTTAATAACATACTATATTCATTGTATAGACTTTTGCTATAAATTCTAAGGCTATATGGATTCCTTTCTTTCCTACTGCATGATTTATTTAATGATACTTATTACTTTATAATTAACGTTTGATAATTTTGGTCTTGAATAATTGATATGTCATATTTTTACGTATCAATTATTCAAGACAATGCGCGATTTTAAATAAACATTTTAGTTTTCATACTAACTCAATAGCTAAAAGTTATTGAGTTACTATAGTTTATAATTAAACATGAATATATCAAGTGGATATATTAATTATAGATCGGTTTTTCATTGTCATGTAGCCAATGTCTAAATTTTTATCTGACAATGAGGATGACAAATTATTTTCTAGGTGGTCATTACGGAAAAATATTTTCATAGTAAGTTAATTATAATAATAAAAAATAGTATACCAAGACGGCAAGATCAGCCTGCGCTGCCCCTCCAATCATGTTAGGTACAAAACTCTTGTGCCCAGGTGCATCAAGAATTGTGAAATGCTTCTTCTCAGTCTCGAAATATGCTCTCCCCACTTCCACTGTTTTTCCTTTGTCACGTTCTATACAAATTTAAGCATGATATTATAAACAAAAATTTATTTGTAAATTCTTTTATGTATTTAGTAGCTATTTATAAGAAATATCAAAACATTGTTAGTTTACAACTCTCTAGAAAATGTAAAATAAATATTTCTATAGGGCATCAGTATCATCATCTCCTTATTTGGGATTAAAATACACATACTGAACCAATTGGATTAGCAGAGAGGGGATTACTAGTAATATACTCAGGTTAACCAGAATATATAGTACTCCCTTAAACCATCATGGTTAGTTCCTGATGAAGATACAATATACCAACCTTATGTTGGTACAATCATCTTACCTTCTTGATTGGTGTCAAGTGCCCATGATAGGTACCAGGATTCCCTGGACTTCTCTCGTGCCTCCCTTTCATATTTGTCTAGTGTTCTTTTGTCAACCATCCCTGTCAGAGACATAATTTGTCCACCAATAGTAGATTTTCCAGCATCTAAAATAAAATATTGTTCATATGAATCATGTTAAATACAATTATAAAACTGTATGACTGTATGTGCCTGACATATTATTATAAATAGACGGAATATGGTTTATTTGCATAATAGAATGATAGAAGATAGGTACAATTAATTAATAAAACATAAACATATATGTTTAAATAATGCTGCCTTATTGCTAAAAGCTATTTTTTCAAAACAACCTTAGGGTTACAGATGTGCGCAATGTATTATAATTTGGTATTTTATATATACCCGGTTAACTCACAAGGATGCAATAAGGAATGAGTGAGTCATGAACTGAGTCTATGTTGAGGAAATATTATTTGTAATTAGAGCTGAACCTAATTTCTACTATGTTATATGTTAAGACCAGAGATATTACATTAATAATGTGACTTTCATATGCATGCCATCTATCTCAATATATTAAATCAATTATTATATATGTACATTATTGAGTAAACTTCACTGATTTGGTCTGACTGGAAAGTATTTAGATTGGTTCATAAAGCCTTTTATGTTTAGGTATATTTCCAGGAAAAATATAATTTTACATAAACATGAAAATGAAGACTGCTGAGTGACACTCTTCTTACTGGTATTATAAGGATTAAGTTATTATAGTTATAGTAGAAATTAGCCTACCCTTATTTATATTTGTTTGCTCTCAATCTACTTAGAACTCCAATATTGTATTGTTCTATAAAGCACCTATAAAATATGTATTTAAATGAACTCACCAACATGTCCAATAAAAACCACATTCACATGTTCTTTTTTACTTCTTGTATCTTCTACTCGAGGTGGTTTTTTCTTTGGGATTTTTTTTGCTGTTTCACCATCATCCTTTAAAATAAGTAACAGAAAAAGTTTTACATTATGATCAAAGAATCAATAACAATTTTATAGCAAACATATATTAGCCATGGAATCTTTTGGCCATACTTGGTACATTGGTAAATGGAAATATAAACATTGTTCATTAAACATATGATAGTTATGGTAGTGCTGGAAAAACAGTAAAAATTAATGACGTCAATTGTGAATCTGCATTTGTTTTGAGGCTACTGTGTAACAATTCATTAGCATAAAATATATTGGTTAGCTATATGAAGGTTGTTAAATTGTATTCTTATTCAATCTCAAGAGGTTTTCAAATTTATATTTAGATACTCAAAAATTAGTAATAATACACCATAATGACTCATCATCATCTAAGAGAATTATTTAATTATTTGAAACATATCTTATTCTGGATATATCATTTTAGACTTGTAACTGTGGTATAATGAACACAGAGTAGTTGATATTAGTTCATGGTAAACAGTAATCAAATGTGAATTGTTTTGCTACCCATAAAAGCAACACTAAAAACTGGCTTTATTTATAATACTATAATACTTATTAGAATTATACATTTCTATGATAAATAAAATTAAAACAATAATTAAAACTTATCTGACAAATCAACAAATAAGAGCTTTTGCTTCATATGTTTCATAATGTTAGGTAACATTACCTGTTGTTCCCCATCTTCTTCGTCTGCCTCATTGTTATCTTCAGGAGTGAGTAATGCATCATCAGCCTCTGCTTCCCAACTATCGGCAGTAGGCGAGACGTCTGATGGGATGGGAAGTGCTGCAGCTGTGGGTGCAGCAGCAGGTGGCACGGGCGGTGGTTCTTCTACTCGTGGGGAAGCGGACGCTGCACGACCGTCGCCGCTTTCAGCGCCGCCGTCTCCACAACCTGTTGCCACAGCATAGTATTATATACAATGTTCAATGAAACATTAAATATAAATAATTAAAAAATAAACTATGTATGCCCTGTGTCTAATATATGTATAAAGTCTTGGCTTACAGTATCATGTCTCTTGTTATAACCAGTTTTTAAGAAATTGTCCTGTCGTAGTCACTACGTAAAGGAAAATCATAAGATATAGATTATTGATTTCTCATGTAAAATCTGAAAAATGAACATATGTTAAAATTTTTATTCTTAGTTTTCAATAGGTTTGCAATTCATATTATCTTTTTAATTAATAGACACATACTATATGTAGTTTCTATATTAATCAAAATATTTTAGAGATAAGTTTGAATTGCTTTGAACAAACTTGATTATAGACAAAGTGAGTAAAGCCACCTTTGCTCACTTTGTCTATAATGTTTGTTACTGTATTTCATACTACAATAAAGAGTTTTAGTGCGAACACACATGATTTGTCATAATTGTTACCACATGGATTCAACATATTTGATAGGTTAAACTGTAATATTATTCAGTATTCAGTTACTATTTGGTATTCAGCTGCATTTAATATATTCAGCTGAATATAGAAAACTGAGTAGAAAGTAAGTTGTCAAATACAACATTGTAATTGATAGAAAGTAACTTTGTAATCCAATAAAAAGATGTTATTTGTGCCTCCTAACTGTACTGAACACAATACTTTTTCTGTACTTGCATTTAATTTTAATAATTAAAAAACATATTTCTCCCTTATTAAGAATACATCCAACGGGTTTATTTTACTCTACATACAATATTAAATTAGTGAAAGTTTGGTCAATATGTACTTAAACTTAAAAATAAGAAATATTATAATCAACACAGTAAAAACAGACAGCTTTATTATGTTTTTTAAATAAATAAAGGTAAAATAAAGCTAAATACAAGATAACTGATATGATAAAAGAATTAACGGGAGGAAATTTTTAGAACAAACTTCTGCTATATATATTAAATAATACACATACGTTGAATAATTAGGCATTTAGGAGATTAAAAATGAACAAATTATAAAGAGAAAGTAACAAAAGAAATAGTGAATAACAAGTAGGCAGTGTCCGCCGCGTGTCTCGACCTAACCCGTTAGAACTGGATACGAAAAATATTCTTAGATTTTTGACTTCAACGTAAATAATGTTAATATAATAGCCGACCCAAAATAGACTTTAATATATGGTCAAGGAATATGAACTCAATTCCCGCAGCAACATTGCAGATCTAAATGACAAGACAGAACTTACCATTTATGACAGGGCATTCAGTAGAGTTTGTGGAATCGCTTTCAGATTTTTGTGGTGTTGTGGGGGATTCAGTATTGTCGTCAGCACGAGATGGCATACAAAAAGAAGGCACAAATTCAACCGCGTTGACATTCAACGTGGAGAGTTTAGCAGACACATCATTAGAATCTTTTGCACCTTGTTCACTTATAAGATCCGCTTGACTTTCCCAAGAGTCCGGAGCACCGTTATTGGACATTTTTAATAACAGACAATATACATTTAATAAATAAGTCTTCTTTTACCAGTTAAATTTAATATTATTCGCGTTAATCGCGTTCTTCTATCGATAGATCCGCGTGTGTCTTTATTCTATACCGGAAGTTCATGGCAATTTGCCAAATAGGTGCTTAGATGTGCTCAATGCAACTATAATATGACACAAAAAAATATATGTGTGTAGTAATTATATTGATAAATTTTATTTTTTACAGCGATATATTTTTAAGAGATAAATCAAATTATTATTTATTTTTAAATAGGTTTTAAAATGATTGTCTACTTCCGGACAATTGAAACATAGAGTTACCATATAGAAATAATTAAATCATTAAGTGAAATGCATAAAGTAACATTACAACAATGGATTTTGTCCTTTTCACACACTACCTGTTAGGAACTGTCAACTAGAAACCCATCTTAACAGTACATACTAAGTGAATAAAATTGCTATGGTAAATAATGACAATTAAATAATTTTATTCAAATAGTCTAAGGATACAACCTACAAATTTACAGTCTCATATTTAAATTGAGAATAGATGCAAGAAAATGACATTCTGTTGCGACAACTGCAACTTTTGATGAAAACAAAGAATGCATTCCATAACTGTTAAACGGAATTTACGGTAGGATATGGCAAGACTTTTATTTTAAAATAAGTAAGAAAGTTTGCAAATGTTTTTCGTAATCGGAAGAAAATATTCAAGTGAAATCAATCAAAAGGTTTAGAGTTTTAGACTATGAAAACTGCAGCTTATCATAAGGAAATTAAGAAGATTTTAATTAAAAAGTTCAGATTTTCTTTGGTAGGCTAGCTCATTACAAACCCAGTAATAAAACAATACATACTCACAAATGTATTTCTATTGGAACAAGATTACATGGTGAACGCTATCACAATTTCAATAATTATTAATATATTTTCTAAACTAAACTATTTACTAAAACTTGTCTAAAAAGTAATTTGTGCTATTTAAAATGAGTCAAAAAATATTTTCTGTAACTCGTTTATGTTTTCTTTAATACCGGTTTTTCATTATTTCCGATTCTCGAGAAACCAGAACGAACGATATTTATACCACTACCGAAAAGAAGTATCTTGAACTATCTTGCCTGATTGTCTGTGATCGAAATTAAAGATGGCGTTTTGTTAATGGGACCTTTTCTTTTGCTGGTGTATAAAATTGAAATTATTGAACTTTATCGCTTGATATTTACTGCTTAACTACTGTTGTTATTAATTCAATTGATATAATAACTCTAAGTGACCGACAAATCGGCGTAAATGGATGTAGTATAATAGTGAACGATTTGTAAAATATAAAGCGTGTCTATTTTGATTCGACTAGCAAATTAATTACTTGTTTCGCGTTAAATAATAACTACAATAATATCGACAAGTGAATGTGCATTGACATGTTACATAAAAATAAGTATTTCTCTATTGGTTCACGGAAATGTCTGTACATTATAAGTTTAAGAGTGCCTTGGATTATGATACTGTCACGTTCGATGGGCTTCATATTTCTGTAGGTGACCTAAAAGCATCTATTTCGCAACAAAAGCGAATTGGAAAAACTTCAGATTTTGACTTACAAATAACAAATGCTCAAACAAAAGAAGGCAAGTATTATTAACGAAATGAGTTCTATGGTATTCCGATTTTCTTACCACTGTAAGACCGACAGACTTCGAAATAGTGTCACTACACTATTTCGAAGTCTGTCGGCGTCAACATTATAGATATTTTTTTTTAAATAGACGTTCGCAATGTATATTATTAGAAAGGCTTTTTTACTCTCTGTTTTTATCTCCCCAAGGATAAAATGGTTTCTCTGTGCCTATACATTTGTTGGCTTTTTGTACAGTACTTTCCAAAAACTCAAATGATTGAAGCCTATATATCTCAAACATATCCAGGCTGGATTTGCAGATTGAGTTCGATCAGTTCTAGAGTGATAAATATGGTACCTATTGATGTTTCAATAACACCATTGAATATTGAAGCATTGTTCAGATTATCAATTGCAATTATTGTGTTTATGTCAACAACAATTTGCTGTACGGGCCTGACCGTTACCATTGGAGATCCTTAAGTTCTCTATATTAGTTACTAGTATTCATATGTCAATATGAAAAGAAAAGAATAGAATAGAAGAATAGAAAATCATTTATTCAAATAAACTTACATTGAAGCACTTTTGAATAGTCATAACATTTTTTTTTAATCTACCGCTCATTCGGAATGCTGTCTCATCACAAGAAGAACAAGCAAGAAACTTGTGTGTTGCTCTTTTAAATAATTTATTCTTACTTAGAATTTAAGTTTTAGTGTGTGAATACAAACCACCGATTAGCACTAATTCAATTAAATACTCAAAAAGAAAAAAAATATTGTTATCTGCTATTGTTATCTGTTTCTAAATTGTTTCTAAGTTTTTTTATGTGTCACTAAGTTTACACACATCTAAAAATGTGGTCATCTTGCATTATTAGATGCAAAAAAAGCAATCAAATACTGTAAAAGCTAATTGGCTGATTGTAGATAGACATGGAGAGGATAGAAAAAATGACTCTAAATACTAAAAATAAAATACAGTTGTTATTGGATTTTGTATGGATAGAATGGTGCCACTGCTTTCATTGGTCTATTTTACTGGTGGTTTTGTACAAAGCTTGGCCCTTGCAATATTAAGTTCCTCAGTAATAAGACAATTATATAAACTATAAATGTCAATGCTTTGTATATGTATGTTTATTTATAAATATTATACCTTTTCCAGTTTATGTGGATGATAACACTTTAATTCCAAAGAACACATCTTTGCTCGTTGCTAGAGTTCCACTTTCTCAGCAGCCAAAAAAACAATGGGAAGGAGCAAATAGTAATTCATCATCATTGCATAAAGATGTGGCTCTTAATAAAGGACTTGCAGATCTTTCGCGCATGGAAGGTAGCGAACAGGATAAAATAAATGCTATGATATCACAATCCACTTTTGACTATGACCCTAGCAAGTAAGATTTGCTTATATGCAATTAAATATTATTCTGCTATTTCCATTATTATATATATAACTTTAAATTTCATATTGTAGTAATAAAGAAGTATTCAGAAATACTGTCAGTTGCTGAACCATTTATTTTTTGTTGATTGATTTTGGTAGTGAGTTATAAGTTATAATTTTATTTTTACAGTTACCAGAAAATTAGAGGACAGAACCAAAGGGGTACAGTGCCAGCAAACTACATTTGTTTTAAGTGTCAGAAACGTGGGCATTGGATTAAAGATTGTCCAGCTGCTAATGCGGTATTTAAATTTAGTTTTTTTTTACATAGTTAATGCATTTTAATTACTATATTTTAATTTTTGTTAATTTGATTATAGAGTGATCCAGTTGATGTAAGGCGTAGTACAGGAATTCCTAGAAGTTTTATGGTTCCTGTAGAGGGACCAAAAGCACCAGGTGCAATGATGACTCCAAGTGGTACATTTGCAGTGCCTGCTGTGGATCAGTAAGATATTTACATTTTTTTTTCTGTAGATAATACTGGAATTCGGTCCACTGTCACTAACAATAAATGCTAGTATAAATTACAGTGCCAGTGATAAATTAAATTACTATATGTTATGTTAGTGAAGGGGTGCGAAGTATATAAGGAAATCCTTGCTAGAAAAACATTAAGAAGACTAGTAAGGGAAGGAGTGAAACAAAAAGCCACAATTGACCACAAAGACGACCACAAACTACCACAAGCTAATGTTGACTATACTAAATGAACTTATGCAGATACATTGAAGACTGATATCCAACATATAACTGAATCTTTTAAATCCTCTCCTCCAAAACACATTAATGATACTATACAGCAATTACTCGTAAAACAAGCCAAGCGATTTGAAATAATCTTACAATAAATGACTACCCTTATGGGGCTCATAGCCAAACTTGTCAAAAAACTCACAAAGTGACTGTCTTCTGATTAGCAACCTGGAACATCAATGGATTGACCCCAAACTAACACGACGTAGCTATACTGCTGAACAAATACAAGCTTGACATAATTCTGATCACTGAGACTCACTGCACAAACTTTAGCAATGTAAAATTTAAAGGCTACTGCACTTACTTGATTAATCATCCAGATGGTACCTCTCATGGTGGAACTGCAATTGTAATCCGAGAAACTATTAAACACCATGTAATGGCAAATTACGAAACTGAACATATTCAGGCAACTACAGTAGCAGTGGAAGACAAATATGACTTCTTTAACATCTCTTCTATATACTGCCCACCCAGACATAAAATAGATGAGGAGAGCTTCTCCCAATTCTACAGTACTCTTGGAGGAAGATTTATTGCAGGAGGTGATTATAATGCAAAACACACACACTGGGGCTCTCGATTAACTACCACAAGAGGTAGACAACTTAAATCAAGTGCAGAAAAAAATAACTTGACACCCATCTCTACCGGGGAACCAACATACTGGCCATCTGATCCACACAAAATGCCGGACTTGCTGGATTTTTTTATGATTAAAGGAATGTCTCAGCATTACTTTAAAGCGGAGACATGTCTGGACAGTTCATCTGTCACAGCCCTGTTATTTTAACTGTTAGTGTTAACATAATAGTTCAGGGAAAGACCAGAAATCATCTGCAATAAACATACAGACTGGGACTCATTCAGAGAACATATAGAGAAAAACTTAAACTTGCTGAATATCTCATTAAAGACTACCAACGAAATCGAAGAAGCTACTAAATATATAACAACTATGATCCAGGAAGCTTGCTGGAGAAGTACCCCACATCTAAAATACCAGGAAGCATTTACAAACTGGCCACTCGAAATAAAAAATAAAATTCTCGAGAAACGTCGTGTACGTCGTACGTGGCATCGAAGCAGATGTGCTGAAGATAAAACTATTTTAAATAGAGCTATTGTGGAACTAAGAACAATGATACAGGAGCACAAAAACTACACATTACAGCGAAAATTAGAGGCACTGACGCCTACTGTTTCTACAGATTACTCATTATGGAAATATACGAAATCATTTAAAAGACCACAACAAACCAAGTCTCCCATAAGAACAGAAAACAATATCTGGGCTAGAACAAGTAAAGAAAAGGCCAATATTTTTGCCAAACATCTATCTGAGGTATTCATCCCGCATCACGTACCTAATGAGGGATTTGAAAACAATGTGAATTCAGTCCTAAACCAAGATCTACAATTAGACCTCCCACCAATGCCTGTCACAGTACGAGAGCTTTGGAGGACCATAAAGTCTCTTAAAGATAAAAAGGCTCCTGGTTTTGATCTTCTCACCAAAGAAGTGCTATGCCAATTGCCAAAAAAAGCTGTAATTTTCCTAACCATTCTGTTTAACGGTATTATAAGAGTTCAACACCTTCCTGAGCTATGGAAGGTCTTAACCATCACCATGATATACAAACCTGGAAAACCTTCTCAGGAAGCCGCATCCTATAGACCCATTAGCCTCCTTCCAATCTTGTCCAAGCTTTTTGAGAAGATACTTCTGCGAAGAATCCATTCTCAACTTGCACAAAAAAAAATTATTCCTGATCACCAGTTCGGTTTCGATGGTCGGTGTTGATGCCAACACTCAACTGTGGAACAGGTTCACAGGGTCTGTGATAGAATTCGAATGACTCTCGAAAACAAAGAATACTGTTCGGCTGCTTTTCTTGACATACAGCAAGTGTTCGATCGGGTATGACATGAGGGACTACTGTATAAAATCAGGAATAACCTGTCACACAGTTATTACCTCCTACTAAGATCTTACCTGCTACAAAGACTCTTTCAGGTAAGGGAATCTGGAGAAACATCATCATTCTATGAGATCAAAGCTGGAGTGCCACAGGGGTCAATTATTGGTCCTATGTTATACCTCATATATACAGCGGACATTCCGGAAGTGAAAGGAGTCACTATAGCCACCTTTTCGGATGACACTGCATTGCTAGCTAGTAATAAAACACCTGACATTGCTTCAACCATTCTCCAGAATGGCCTGGATCACATCTATAGGTGGTTGCAAAGATGGAAAGTCAAAATTACAAATCAACCAGCATTACAAAATCTGTCCAAGTCACCTTTACTCTAAAACGTGGAAATTGTCCACCAGTACGATTGGGAGATTATGCTCTACCACATAAGGACAATGTTAAGTATCTTGGATTACACCTTGACCACCGTTTGAATTGGTGGGAACATATTAAAACCAAGAAAGAATGCTTAATGATTCGCTTTAAAAACCTTTACTGGCTTATGGGTCGAAATACAAAACTGTCTATTGACAATAAACTACTGATTTATATGTCCATTCTAAAACCTGTATGAACATACGGCTTACAACTTTGGGGAAGTGCGTCAAAGTCAAATATGAACATCATTCAAAGGGCTCAAAATATTATACTGTGTTCTCAGTATAATATTTTGAGCCCTTTGAGCCCCTATCGGATGTCCCTTGGTACATCACCAACAACGAAATTCACAAGGAACTTGGCGTACTGACAGTAAAGGAGGAGATCCTCAATTGTAAAGAAAAATATAAAAAGTGACTATGTAACCACCCAAATCAACTGGCTGCTCAATTACTACAAATACTTTACCTCAAGCGACTAAAAAGAAGCGACATTGTGTAATGTTTGCAGTATGCTTAAGGAGTAGATTCTCCCGCTGGGGTGGACACTCCGTTCTTAGATCCCACACTCAAAAAATCTGCTCATAGTTCTGGGACTGATTGCAGATAAGAAAAGAGAAAAAATAAAAAAAAATGTTATGTTAGTCTGTTCCCGGATTCCTAATCCTGGAGACTAAATTGACAGGTGTAAATGTCAAACTTACAAATTATGTTGCTACCTATGTCAGTAGTGGTGTACCTGCAGTACCAATTTGTTTAATCGGAAATTTTTATTTTATAACAACACAATTTTAAAATTTATCTACATGTAATGATACATACATATAAGTACAACATAAAACTACATTTTTGTTGTTTCCATACAAGCAGTAATTTTTTACAGTAGTAAACTACAAACTAACATTATTTTCGTTGTAACAGCTAAATATTTTAAATAGTTATTATTCCCATGTAAATAACATCAGAATGATGATTTGCATATTGTGTACCTAGTTAATAGTTTGAACATTCTAAGGATAGGATAGGATATTAGCAAAAAATTGACCAAAAATAAAATATAGATACATATTTAGTTACTACATGAATAACCTTGTGTTTAATTGTTCTAAAATATTATTATTACCTGTAGTGAGGCATACCTGGCCTCAGAGAATGCTGGTGGTGCTGACACACCTACCAATGCTCCGGCTGCACCTGAACCGAATATACCAGATGAATTGATATGCAGTTTATGCCGTGATCTTCTTACTGATGCTGTTATGATACCCTGCTGCGGCAATTCATTCTGTGACGAATGTAAGTCTATGTTATGTTAACCAACACTCACTTTTTTCAAGAATTGTTTTAACAAGGCGAATATATACTTCAACCGATTTAGACTAAACTGTTGATACAGAGAATATCTTTTATCCTGACATACTAGACAAGATAGGAAATATTCTTTATTTTTAATTATTATGTAACAAAAATACTGCAATATAATAAACGTAAAATTGAAGTTTTATAAGGAACTAAAATTTGTTTGATTGTATGTGGTAAGGGTAAACGATGCAAGTGCTGAACCTGTTTAAATAGTAACAGTATTGCTGACTAATTTCAGTAAATCTTTATTTAAGTCCTATTTGTAAGGCTTATGTTGATTTTATGATAACTTATTAGGTATAAGAGGAGCCTTGCTAGAATCGGAAGATCATGAGTGTCCAGATTGCCGAGAAAAAGAAATTGCACCGACAACGCTAATTCCTAATAGGTAAGAATATATAATCTGTTAATAGTTTTAATTGCAACATAGTACATTCACAGAGAACATAGTTATGCTGAAAATTTGTTTATTTTTAATTGACCAATAGTGTCGCGACAAGTAATATAAGGAATTGTTTTATTACCGTCTTCCATATCTGTGACACAGTTATAAAATTTAGGTTAGATTTGATATAGTTTTAAATACTGTGGAGTCAATTATATTATTAATGAAATAAATTAAACAATTTCAAACTAATTATTTCTATATTTTAAAATCGGATTTATTTTTTTCCCCGTTGTTTTGTTATATTGTGGAAAATGCAAAGAAAGCTAAAATCTGAAATACTTATCATAAAGGCTATGTAAACAAATGTTCACTACTAATATGTAAACATTTTAGGAAAAATAAAATATATTTCTAATTATCACTGTTTTCAAGAGTTCCGTTTATATCTTTTATATATGACATTTGTAGTCCACTTTTCAAAAGTAAATTTGCTCTAAACTAAAGACATCCCAATTATAAAACTATACCACATATATTTTTATAAGTATAATATAAATATAAAGTAATTAAACATATTACATATGTAACTCTCTCATTAATCCATTTCGATATTCTTATGAAAATTAAAAATAGATGTTACATTATTAGTTCAGTACCCTATTCCTATTTGCACATTGCCGATTTTTACTTACATATAAGAAAATATGAATGTGGTATAAATTTACGAAGGATCACTGTGATTGATGTTGAGGATATGATTTATACTCTAATGTCTTTAATCTAATAACGACCTGTTAGGCGGCTGACCCCGTTTGGTTTTTAAAAAAAAAACCTTTTTAAAACACAACACAAAAGTCACTTGATTTCAGATAGTTTATTTCGAAAATGTGGTTTCACAAGTTATTATATTAACAAACTTATCCCACACTATGTAGGTGCAAGTGCAATGAGTTATCGACGCGGACTAGTTTGACTAACTGTCTAAACTGTTTTTATATAACGATGTAAATCGGGAATTATTCAGGCTCAGCATTTTCTTTGTACTGGGCTCGGGCATAACACCGCCCTCCTTAAGACGAAGGTCATCTCTTGAGATGATCGAAGTTAAAGACGAAATGGGATAAATTCGTTTTACAAAACATGGATAATCATTAATTATAAAGTAAGTCATCAATAAGGATAATGTTATAATAACGAAATTATAAAACAATAAAGAATGTTAAAATTAGTTATACAAAATAATGGTTATTATAACTATAGACAGATTCAATTCTTATAGATAGTATTCTAGAACAAGTATTAAAAAAAATACAAACTAATATTTAATTATAAAATTCTTTAAACATTACATATCTAAAATTAATTCAATATTGAACTTAAAATATATTAAACTTAATTGTTAAGAATATTTCTGCTAGAGGCTGCCTTGCGTGTATTGAGGAGACCTCTTTGATAGCTTTGATAATCTGGTGCAGACCTTATAGATATTTGGTCGTTTGACATTTCATTCAATTCTATGCTTTGACTTGATTTAGAATCAATAATTTGAGTACAACAATGATTAAATATTTGTATGCAACAATTATCTGATGCACGTTGTTGATTTCTTTTATTTTTATAAAAATGAAATAATTTATAAATACAGGAGAAAAACATTGTTACAATTAAAATATATGTAAAGGTTGAGTAATAAGAGCCATATTTAATTATGTGAGGTTGATCTTGTATTTTATTGATTTCCTTTTCTAAGTTATCTAATTTATGTGAGGCATGACGAAGAGATTCTAAATTAATATTAGTTAGAGAGATCGGTGATAATAGATGCACGGAGTCATTGAATATGTCTCTTTTACAACAATCGTCTAATGTAATGTCGAAATTTATATCTAATTGACTTTGAATAGAGATTAGATTCGTGGAACTAGGCGTTAATTGAATAGTTTTACAAAAGGCGACACAATTGGCTGGTAGGGTGAGTACACCTGTACCGGACAACTGAGTATCTTTAATTTCGTTATCACATTTTATTGATAATTTGGTAGGTTCCGACTGGACATAGATCCACTTGTTATTATTAATATTTTGCCATATATCTATGTGTCCGTATATTAATTTATAATTACAATCTTCAGGCAATTTTAAGTTTACATCAGTAAGTAGTCGAGTTTCACAAATTGGATTATATATTGTAGAAAATGTAGATAGGTAAGGACATATGAAATATAGATTATTTACGTTATTACAATTATTTATGTCATCGAAAGAACTGTAACTCAGTCTATCATCCGTTACGGCTAAATATGATTTGGTAGGGTGAATTAAAGCAAATGTTGACGGTCGGTCGGTTCACATCGTGCGGAGTTGGTAATGGGATGCATTTATAAACATTGTACTTAATCGGAGAGATAAGAGGAATTTGTATAATGAAGATGATTTTGTTGTTATAATAATAAGAAGTTAGTTTAGATATGTCGATTATTGTGTGAATATTATTTATGTTAAGAGTTATTGGGAAATCTAATTTTTTATTTATGGAACCGGAGTGTTTTTCCAATTCTGTTAATAAGTTCATAGGACTTATTACAGAAGGATGTAGAATATTAATTTTAGAAAATAGAATAGAATTAAGAATAGAATCAAGGATGTTTGATAATGTTAATAGAGAGCTTTCGATTATATTAATGTAGTTATTCAATCTAAATACGTTTTCGAGTGCATTATTATAATTAGAGTAATTTGAGAACATGCTGTTCATTAAATTTATTTGATGATTTAGCTTTTCTTCGTTATCATTGAGTTTATATATAGATGAATTGAAAGCATTTATTGACGATTGGACAACGTGTATGTTATCTTTCATGAGATTGAGTATTTGTGTCTCGTCTTGTTGACATGTTGAGATCGCGGCATCATACTTTCTAGCATCGTCAGCATCCAGAGTACCGAAAAAGAATTTAAGAATTTCGCCGCCGAACTCGAGTGACCGCTTGTTTATTCTGATTGATGAATTAGTAGATATAATATGCGATAAGGATTGAAATTTAATAGCATTTGATCTCAATAAAACTTTAACGGGGTTCAGTATATCGTTACAATCTACGATTTAAGGTTTAAAGAGCTGTGCTCGTATACACATATTAAATGTGTCGTCTACATATTTAGTTAATGATTTTAGACGAGGTTGAATGGATACTATGTCTACGTGGGTTATTATTTTCCAATAGTCATTATAAAAATAAACTGGATTCTGTGCATCGAAGTATATTCCTGGACTATGAATGATTGGGTTTATTACCGCTTCTGTGTGGCAAATTGGAGGCCACAGCCTGAAATAATAAAGAAGAATTTGTTACTTTAAGGATGAGCCGGTTTGATTTCATTTACATGGTACTTTATGTATCTACGCCCAACTGATAACGTCACGTTGTGACTGCCGTTTAGTTTAATTATTTTGTAAGGGCCCTTCCATATTGGTGATAGGGCCTTGCGTAGGCGATGATGGTGTTTTAGGTATACCATATCTCCGATTTTATAATTAGTAATTCGGGATGATCTGTCATAATAATTTTTCGAAGATAGTTTACTTCCCTCTATATATTCTATAGCCTTTTTTCGAGATAGTTTCATGCGATATTGGAGAGCTCTTATATACTCCTGATATGTATTATTATCGTTTGTTTCGTATAACGAACTTGGTATTGAAGGTTTGTGTCCGTAGAGTAGTTCGAATGGTGTAAATTGAGTCGTTGTATGGGGAGTGGTATTATAAGCTAGTATAGCTGTGAATAAATAGCAGTGCCAATCATTTTGGTTTTCGTTAACGAAAGACTTTAAGTATTCTTTCAGTGTAGCATAGCTACGTTCAAGGGCACCATTTGTTTGGGGATGATACGGAGTGGAAAATATAGATTTTATTTTACAAATATTGGTAACTTGTTTGAATAGTTCAGATGTAAAGGGAGTGCCTTGATCGGTTAAAATAGTTTTGGGGAATCCGAAGAGGGACATAAAATGTACAAGGTTACCAGCAATTTCTTCTGTAGTGGAGGTAATCATAGGATAAGCACTAGAGAATTTAGTTAAGTCGTCTTGTAAAGTTAGTATGTATTTAAATTTTTGGATACCGGATTCGGGAAGAGTTCCTACTATATCGAGGGCGAGTCTCTCGAAGGGTTTGGTACTAGTGGATGTTATTTCCATTGGAGCCTTATTACTGCATCTCAAAGGCTTATTTAGTTGACAGACTTGGCAAGATTTTACAAATTGTTCTATGTCAGATCGCATTGATTTCCAGTAATATTTGTTTTTTATACGATTTAGCATTCTTTTAATGCCGGGGTGCCCAGCAATAGGAGTACCATGATTCTCTTGGAGGATTTTTGAGATTTCGGGCGGAGATGGGTATATGAGCGTGTTTTTATATATATGTATTTTTAAGTTGGTATTATGAAACACGAATGCAATTATATTATAGATTTTAGTATAAGATAGTTTAGAAAAAGGTTCAGTGAAATCTGATATAGCAAGTTCAGTGGCACCGATATTTTCGGATAAAATTTCGTCTCTAAGTTTCATTAATAAATTATAAATAATGCGATAAGGAGTTTCCTCATAATGATGAACTTTTGTATATAAGAAATAGTACGTTTTATTATTATATTTAATCGAGTGCACCGTGTGAACTTCGCGTTCAGCTGCTAACACGTCAGCGCTGTTCTCTATTTGAGACAATATTTGTCGACAGTATGGCATCGAATTATCAAAATCTAAAGATGTGGGACATGCAATTAAATTAAGTTTAGAAGAATGTAGACTTTCGGAGTGTTCTTCGATTTCAGTATTATTGGAAATAGAATTTGTAAATTGTAGTTTAAAATATTTTTCGTAAGTATCTTTGTGTAATTTATTTGCAGAATTCAGCGCGTGCATAGGAATTCGAGACAGTGCATCGGCATTGGAATTTAGGCGGCCCTGTTTATATATAATTTCGTAATCGTATTCTTCTAATTTGAGACGCCAGCGAATTAGTCTACTGCCAGGGTCTTTAACATTAAATAACCACACTAGTGGTCGATGGTCTGTAATGACCTTGAACTTGTGTCCATATAGATAGGGGCGGAATGTCTTCACACCGAATATAATGGCAAGAAGTTCTTTCTCCGTGGTGGAGTAGTTTCCTTCCGCTTTGTTTAAAGTACGGGAAGCGTAAGCAATGGGTTTATCCTGACCTACGATCCCTTGGGATAGAACCGCTCCTACGGCATAGTTGGATGCATCAGTCGTCAATATAAATGGCTCATTAAAATTAGGATACTGGAGCAAAGGTGCGGAAGTGAGTTTTTCTTTTAATAGATTGAAAGCTTGTTCTTGTTCTGTAGTCCAGTGAAATTCGACATCTTTTTTCAATAATAGAGTAAGAGGTTTAGTAATTTTCGAGAAATTTTCTATAAAACGTCGGTAATAACCGACTAGGCCAAGGAATGATTTAATCTCCTTAGGATTTTTAGGGGTTGGATAAGTAGTAACAGCCTTGACTTTATCGGGATTCGGAGAGACACCTTTATCGGTGATGATATGACCCAAATATGAAACTTCGCGGCGTAAAAACTCGCATTTATCGGGCTGTAATTTCAAATTAAATTGACGGAATCTGTCGAAGACTAACTTTAATTTTTGTATATGTGACTCGAGGTCAAAACTATATAAGATACAGTCGTCTAAATAGATATAACAGTGTAGACCTTGAAGGCCAGAAAGGACGGTATTCATAAGCCGTTGGAAGGTACTGGGTGCGTTTTTCAACCCGAAGGGCATTCGGTTAAATTCAAAATGTCCGGACGTTTTGTTAGTGGTTACTGTGAAACCTGTTTTTTCGGCATCTTCAGGATTTAAAAATATCTGATGAAATCCACTCGCGAGATCTAGCGTTGTAAAATATTTAGAATGACCAAGTTGATCTAATATGTCAGTTATAAGAGGAATTGGATATATTTCATTGACAGTGACGTCATTTAGACGTCTGTAATCGATTACAATTCGCCATTTACGTTTTCCAGAGGCATCTATCTTTTTTGGGACAACCCAGACAGGGGCATTCCAAGGGGAAACCGATGGTTTAATGATATTTTGTTCTAACATTTTTTTTATTTGAGTTTCTACCTCGTCCTTGTGGCATTCGGGGAAGCGGTAAGCTTTAACATGAATAGGGGGAGCATTCCCAGTATTAATAGAATGTTTTAAGGCATTAGTTGCGGTTAGCTTATCTCCATCGAGGTAAAATATGTCTGCGTATTGTGCGCAGCAATCGAGTAAAATATCCTTTTCTTCGGAATTTAAATGAGTGTGTCTAATCTGACTTAGTACTTTATCTATCCTATCAGAGTAGGTGATGTCAGATGTCTGTATGTTGTAGATATTTGTAGATGATTCTAGAGGTTTAGATAGAGTTTCGTCTAATGGAGTAAGGGAAACAGAGTAGTTTTTTATTTGGATGTCAGATTCAGTGGTATTTAAAATGGAGACATTTACGCGATTGTTAAGTTTAAGTGTTACTATACAATTAGAAACATAGACACCTTCCGAAATAGTATGGTCTAGTACGAGAGCTTCACGTAGATTTGGTAACTGTGATGAGTCATTTGATACAGTGCATTCAATCACGGCTTCGCTTCGCGCCGGTATAATATAGCTTGGTTGTTTGAAATTAATAGGTAGTATTTGTTCTCGTAAACACATAGAGTTAGAATAGTAATCAATATTGACCTTGTAATATCCTAAAAAATCACTGCCGATAATACCGTCATATTCCAGGTTTATATCATTTTTTATTACATGTAATTTGTAGGTAATACTAAGGGAATCGGTTAAAATAAAATCCATTTGAAATGTGCCTAGAGTTTTACAATAGGATTCAGTGTAATTTATACCTTTTAATTTTATAATTTCGCGTGAAAGTTCAGGTTGCTTATTTAGGCTTGATTGTTTGATAATACTGACACTCGCACCGGTGTCGATGAGGAAACATAAAGGTTTATCAGAATAAGTTGATTGTAAATAAGTATGAGGCAAGGTTATTTTATTAATAATTATTTCGTACATGGGTATTGGTTTAGTTTCATCGGAATATTCGTGAGATTTAGTATTACAAATTTGTTTAAGCGAGTCTATATTAGTTAAGTTTTGTGGCCTTGTAATCTCAGAAATAGTAATAGGTTTTTTATTTATTAGATTTTGAGTTTTACTTTTATTGGTGAGGTCAGTGCAAGATTTGGTACTTTCTTTATTTAAATAGGATTCAGATATGGTAGAAGGCTTTGTGTAAGATGTATTAGTCAGAGGTATTGGTAATTTTAATGAGTGTGAATTGGCACAGATTTCAGCGTAGGTTCGTGTACGATTCGATGATATTTGGGGATTAGAATAAGATTCAGAGCGACGCGTAGTATATGAATTTTTACAAAGTTTAGAATTCGTAGGATTCAGTGGTTTTTCAGATTTGTAATGAGATTTTTCAGTGTATGTAAGATTCAGCGGTTCTTGAGATTTGGTATAGGATTTTGTATAAGGTTCAGCGTTCATAAGATTCTGTGAGTTTTGGGTTTTAGTAAAAGATTTAGTATTTATAAAATTCAGTGGGTTTCGAGGTGTAGAAAAAAATTTAGTATTGATAAGATTCGGTAGTTTTTGAGGTGTAGTAAAAGATTTAGTATTTGATAAGATTCAGTGGTTTTTGAGATGTAGTAAAAGATTTAGTATTTGTAAGATTCAGTGGTTTTTGAGATGTAGTAAAAGATTTAGTATTTGTAAGATTCAGTGGTTTTTGAGATGTAGTAAAAGATTTAGTATTTGTAAGATTCAGTGGTTTTTGAGATGTAGTAAAAGATTTAGTATTTGTAAGATTCAGTGGTTTTTTGAGATAGTATTTGTATTCAAGATTTAAAAGATTTAGTATTAAGATTCAGTGGTTTTTGAGATATAGTATAAGATTTAGTAGTGCCCTGCTATGATAGGAATTCGATCGGCACGGAACCGAAGTCCATTTTAGTTTAAATTTTCACTTGAAATATTTTCGTTATCGATTTCGCAATAATTAACTGCATTTGTGTTACCGGACACATTCCCACGCGCGGTTCCGGGATAGTGCCTGACACCTGCCTGGGAATCCGTATCGCGTTGCGTTTGGCCTTCATTCTGGCGACGCTGCATATTGTACTGTCTCTTGCGACATTCATTAATGCTGTGGCCTATATGTTTACAATATGCACATGAAATAGGTTTATGTAAATTATAGATCTTTGAATTATTAACGTGATGAGTTTTGTAAGATGGGGATATCCTGGTATCCCTATTTTTGAAATAGCACTCTGAAACTACATGACCTTGTTTTTTACAATGAGAGCAATATTTAGGCGTTTTGTTGGATGCTCTTGTTAAATTATATAATTTTTCTTCCTCCGTAGCTTGCATAATCGCCTTACCTAGAGTTTTGGGATTCCTACACCGCACAATGTAACTAAAGTTAGGATTAAGACCTAGCATAAATGTATTTAAAGTTAATTCTTCCATAGCAGCCACTCTACCAGGTAACTCGTCGTTGTTAGTACAGGAATAGTATATGTCCGATTGAATTTTTGTTAAACAGGCTTCGATTCGGAGAGAGTACTGAGTTACAGTCTCAGATGGTAATTGTTTACAACCCTGGAGTTCGATTAGTAAATGTGTGGAGTGCTTTTTCTCGCCGAACGTGACCCTTAAGAAATCTTTCAATTCTAACCAGTTTTTAAATGTCTTAAGATTACAAGCCGTTTGGGCTTTGCTTTCTAATTGTGATATTATATACTTGCATAATATATTCTGTTGCTCAGGGGCAGCTAAAGAAATTGCACTCTCACAATTTGTGAGGAAAGCAGGGAGGGACTCACGATCGCCGCTGTAGGCCTTTATGAATTTCGTTAATACGCTCAGTGTCACCCTCTCTGCTTTCTCACTGGCCTCCTCATTTTATAAGGTTATATTAGATAAATGTTTCAGTTATATAGAATCTAGTATTAATAATAGTAATGTTCGGTTTGAATTACGTGATTATCACTAAACTGGCACTTCACTGATATAGAAATAGTAGTATCACAAAGCACTTACAGGAGGGTTATGATGATTATCATATCTTCTGATCTGGTGACACGTGGAGTCCGTCACACGTGGTGTTGTATGGCTCTGGGTACACGAACACGATGTTGCAATGGACCTGGCAGCCGGTGATCGATGTGGTCCCAGGTTTTGGTAGACAGGGTGTAATGCTGAACTTCTGAAGCGTTGGGGTGCAGGCTCAGATTTTATGATCTGAGGCTTACTGTCGACCCGGGTGACGTGGTTGCGGGGCGCTGGCTCACACACGAGGGGTGGAGACTAACAGTCGGCCAAATTCATTACGGGGTATCAGTCCGATTGATGCTGTGAATCTCTGCCTGAGATCTTTTCACAGCATCCCACTTCTGACACCAATGTTAGGCGGCTGACCCCGTTTGGTTTTTTAAAAAAAAACCTTTTTAAAACACAACACAAAAGTCACTTGATTTCAGATAGTTTATTTCGAAAATGTGGTTTCACAAGTTATTATATTAACAAACTTATCCCAAACTATGTAGGTGCAAGTGCAATGAGTTATCGACGCGGACTAGTTTGACTAACTGTCTAAACTGTTTTTATATAACGATGTAAATCGGGAATTATTCAGGCTCAGCATTTTCTTTGTACTGGGCTCGGGCATAACAGACCGAAATTTTTCTTGATCGTAGGTTCTTAAGAAATTCAGTGTCGTCTTTCCGCAATCAAACTGGCTATAGTCGGCGTACACCGCATCGACCTGCTGTAGCACCGATGCAAGCTCCTCCACCAATGCTGGGTATGTATAGTAAATATAACTACAGATGCGATTAAAACTGATACTGTGTATTTTTATATATGTTTATTTTCTCCCACATTATGAAACATTATAGAAATATTCATATTCGCAATAATGTCCTTATTAAATAATATTAAACCTGGTAAAAATAAGGCTTCATTCCGATACGACAAGACTAATTGTGATTGACCAAATTTTAAAGTGACCACAGACAATCATCATATTGTATGATAATTTTAATACATTAGAGTACCATGCATTATGTTAAATCGATATTGAGATTGCAATCCTGAGGATATACTGCATTCCTAGAATTTACGAAATGGTAATTTATTTCAGAGCCGCCTCCAGTAGTTCCCGTACAGCCACCTCCAAATGGACCTGCACAAGTCGCTGCCCCTCCAATCGGTCTGTAAATGATAAATAAAAGAAATAACATCACGCTTGCAACTACATTAACTCGGCAACTACATTAACTCATACACTAATAATTCGGTGAAGGGGCTCTCGGCGCATAAAAAATAATTTAGTGAACACCATAATTTTATATGCTTTAAGGCCGCATTCGGTAAGGAATCAAGGATTTAAGGGGCGGGGAACTAGAAGTGTTAACAGAAATTATTCGGTAGATTCGGGATCATCAGGCGGTGGAGGTGGGCGGGGCGAGGAGTCCGACGGGTCGGCCGATGACAACATCACAGTAACGGTGCCGCCGGCGCACGCGCACCAGCCGCCCCACGCGCCCCACGCGCCCCACGCGCCCCAGGGACCTCGCGCGCCTCACGTGCCCCACGCGCCCCACGCCTCCCTCCATGCGGGGCCCCGGGGCCCCGGTGGCCCACGTCGCCCGCCTAACGTGCAACGACCACCGCGTTACGGTACTTGTTACTAGCCCCGCGGGCCCACTCTCCTGTTTCGCTTTGCATGTGTCGATATTATTTATTTATGATTGTGTTTTGTTACTATTAAAAATTATCGTTGGTATTAGTCGTAAAATCGTCTTTAATGTTGCCTCCATTATACGTCAGAGAACTTTCTCATTGTCAGTATATTTTCTTTGAAACATGTACCGGGTTGAATTTACACCCTCAAAATATATGCATTGGAAGTCCCGTCATCATGTTCGACTTTTGTTTTGTTATTATATAAGTAGTCTATACATACATGTCACTGTGTACCGAGTAATGAATCTTATATGTATATATTGTATCCCGTATGTACCATAACACTATAAATTGGCATCATAAATATGTTAGGCCACAGAGTAGTTAATAATAATGTGACCAGCAAACTGTCAAATATGTCTTAAGTTATTAAATTATTGTATCATATGGCCCATAACTCAACTATTACAGTGCACTAAAAGTATGTAATTACTAGAATTATATTTCAAATTGGAATGTGTTTCAAACATTTATTATTGATTACTTCTTATGATAATACTAACATAAAATGACATACCTTCATGACTGTTATCCCAGATGAGATTTTCAAATATAAACGTTGTTGTGAACGCGATACTTGACATAGCCACATTTCACAGTGTATATTTTCAATCCAACTATTAATATTAAATTTATGTTTTCTTCACTGGAGAGAGTCAGTCATATATATACTTTTGGTGTTGGCTAGATTTGATCTCACAAGCTCTTGATGTAATTCAGGTTACTAAGCTAGACTATCACACTCACTCAAATAATAATATAATGCATTTGATATATGAGTGTCCTCTTAACGGCACAATATGTAAGAAGCTGACTCTACCTTGTAAATATCGTGGCTTGAGGATTGATAATTAACATTAGGTTTATTATTTGTAAATTTCTGTGTAACTTTTAAGATTGTCACTAAGATTTGTAGAACGCTGTTGTATGATATCGAAATAGGTTTGAAAAATGAATAGGTTTATCTATAATTTACCTTAAGTATTATCCGTAGATAAGAATATTCAGTAGTCATGCATGGGATGATATTCACTCAGTTTCATTAAAACATCTTGCTTTCCTATTATTTACATGATTGTGGAATAGTACAAATTCGTGCCCTTATAAAATGTAAAAAATAAAATATAATATTGTTTGTAAAACATCCAAAGTGCTTTACCTATTGCTATTTAAATTCTATAATGATTGTAATTATTGTATTCCATAGTTGTATGTACACTGAAAACTTGGAAAGGTTTATGTTTTGGTACAGCTTTCAAATATAAATGCTTTTTACTGAAACAATAATTTTAAGCATTCATACAAACCGCTTGGCAATATCTGTAATTATAATGAGCTTTATAATTAAGAATACAATATTAATAGAATTCAAAATTTAGTTTCAGGACCGCCACCTTCTCTTAAACCTCCTGGATTGGATACACCACCAAATATTCCAATGAATGTAAGTAATTTTGAACATACATATTATTATTACTTAATTTTGGTCATTGAATAATTTAAATAATTATGACATTCATTGTTAAATTTAATATTGATATCAATTTAAATTTCCATGCTCAAAATATAGCTGAATATGGAGCTGTAAATTAATTTCTAAGAACAATGTAACCTATTCAAAGCAAGCAAATAAATAAATGGGTTTTATTCATATTAAGATATTCGGGCAAGCAAGTAGATGAACATGTGGAAAATAAAAATGCTGTTTTATATTAATTATATATCCATATGTTTAAGATATGGAAGGTTAGATCTCCCTCTATATATTTATCACTATATTACAGTATTTTTTAATATTTATACAACATATGTTGGAGCTTTTATTTTCAGAGTTGACTTTGTTTATTGTTTTTATATTAATAAACTAACTTTTTATATAGATGGCAAGAATTGATGAGCAAAGAGCCAGCACTCCAACAGTTGATGAACGAAGAGATCCAATGTCTTCACAGGTAACTTTAGATTTCATCTTAAAAGCTATTACATTTCATTATTTGTTCATTACGGATCACCCATAAATTACTTCACACGAATTTAATCACTTATTTACCCCGCCTGTAACGCAAATAGAACGCTACAAATTGTTTTTAATGAAATATTTAATAGACAGAAAGGTTATTTATAATTATATTAAATGTAGAATTTTCATTTTCAGATTGTGTACAATCGTGGGCCGCCACCTGGATTTATGCCTTCATTACCTCCTTCGCGTCGTTACAACAAGTAATTAACATAAAATTTATCTTATGTAATATAATATTTATTTAATTTTATGTAACTGTAAAAATGTATAAAAGAAAAGATCGACAGAATCAACCACCCGTACCCACCGTGTGGAGACCTGTCTCACTTATTTCAGCCGCCAAGCCGCTTCTTTGATAAGTTTCGTTATGGTTGTAGTGTGCAGATTAGACAGTGAAACTACAGGATAAGAGGCAAGCCATCTTAGTCCTTTGGAAGGGCAAAGCCTATGACTTCTATTTTATTATTGTTGTATCTAAAACTCCATTTGTAACATGTAACAAGAAATTATTAATAGTATTGATTCTTCATTATATATAGATTGGCACTAAAGTAATACTGTTTATTTTTTAGCCCTCCGTACGGAAGACATGGAAATCGGGGCCCACCGTTTGATGATCGTTATCATCCACAAGAGCCTTATCAGCCACCGCCGCCCGGAATCAAAGATTCTCCTTCAAATGGGTAAAATTTGTTGTTGTTTATCTTTTAATGTCCAATGATTGGATTGTTATTGACGAATTCTTCGGGCGAGCCCTTTTTCATTTCTGTAAAATGTTCATACTACTAGTGATTTCATACTAATCGTGAGTAAAAAAGGATGCTTAAAATTTCTTTTTTTCTGTTTACTATTATTAGTTTTAGTATAAATCGATCGAACGTTCACAATCGTTTTGATAGGTTTCGTCCAAGAATTGGACCGTGACTTTATTCTATTCGGCTTCGCGATCGGTCAGTCGGTCGTCTCGTGCCGTCTAACGAAGCGCGTCTAATTGTCGTAGGCACGACGAGGATCCGCTCGAGGCGTTCAACCGCATGATCCGCGAGAAGGAAATGCGGGCGAAGCGGCGCGAGGAGCGGCGGCGAGCGCAGTCGGGGTCCCGCAGCCCGCGGTCGCGCTCGCCGCGCTCGGTGCGGTCGCTGCGCTCGCCGCGCGGGCCGCGCTCGCCGCGCTCGCCGCGCTCCCCGCGCTCCCCGCGCTCGCCTCGCTCGCCGCGCTCGCAGCGCTCGCCGCGCTCGGCGGCGCGCTCGCCGGCCCGCTCACCCCGCGCGCGTCCCCGTAGTCGCGCCTCCAGCCGCATCCGGTATTCTAGGTTCGTTCTAATTCTCAGTTTTCATCGCATGCTGTTCTAATATTTAATGCACGATCGTCGGTCTCTCGTCTCGTTTCATAGTCTCGTTGCTGATGTATATCGGTTTTTGGTTTGGGTCCACGTCTGCTTCGCTCGCGATCTGCACTGTTTATTTTTGTATTGTGATTTGTCTGTGACATTAATGTGTAATGAAACGCTTAGCTGTAATGCAATGCTTATTGCTGTGTCATTTAAAAAATCACTATAATATATATATTCATGAATAAAAGATAAGTAGACATTTATCAAATCATTTACATCTTAATTGGTGGTTGCTACTATGATACTGTATTGATTGAAATGTTGCTGTACATTTAATTAAACAAGCATTGCATGTACTTATTTTACAGTGAATTGAAAACGAATTTAATATGCTTGATAATTAAGACTAAAAGTGTTTTTTTAAAATGTACTGGAAATATTTAGTGTCTATGCCTCAGTTATGAACTCGATATTGTCTCATAAAATTATAAGAATACGATTGGGCTTAATTAGTTACATTTATTAATATGTTTTTGATAAATTGAAAAACATAAGAAAAAATGTTAGCAATTTAACCTTTCAAGGTAGAGAATTTGCAAACATTTTTCAGCTTAAAATTTAGAACATACCGATTCTTGTTATGAATATCTTAATTTTTATTTAATAAATAAATAACTCGCACAGTGACTTCTTCGAACTAAATAAGACTGTACTGTACTAAACATACATACAATAAAATATACATTAATACTTTGTTTAATGTGAATACATTCATGATATACAGAAAAATACCTAGACAAATATAAACAGACATATAAATTACAATATAATAATTATATTGTACGACCTCAGGTCCCGGTCGGGATCGCGCGGCCGCCGTCCGCGTTCCCCGTGGTCGCCGCGCTCACCGCGTCGCCGCCGTACTAGAGAACGGACTCTATCACTAACGAGGTAATTTTACTATTAATTGTAATATTAGCGTTTTATTTTCTTTAAATAGAAAACAAGTATGCAAAGGGAGGGGACGCCTTAAAAAAGATGGATGGATTGTGTGAAAGATGATATGAATAAAAGAAGAGTATGTTCAGAAATGACGACCGATAGAGAGCAGTGGAAGAGAATGACATACTGCGCCGACTCCAAATAATGGGATAAAGGCAAGGCAATTATGAAATAAAAAACAAGTGGGGGAAACAAACAATTGTGATACTTAAAATACACAATGTGTTTTGGTTTATGATCTCATAATGTATTTTTATACCATTATATATATATAATTACAATAATGAAATAAGAATATTTATATTGTGTCATATCATACTATAGTTACATAGTTTTCTATCTCAGAGTAAAATATTAAGAATATGTTTCAAACAGGTTGCAATTTCATGTATTCATGCGAATTTAAACCTATTGATATACGATTTTGTGAGGGTATTCTAGATATATTGATTTATTGGTTTTAACTACCTCACCGGCCTCAACTTCCTATAGTCACGGACACGATCCCCGCATAATAGACGTATTTGTAAAATGATTTGTATGTATTTATTGTTGGTACTGGTGTTTTATCCGTATCTCTAAATGCATGTCGCAAATAAAATAGTATTTTCATCAGTGACTTAACTTACTTTTAAGTTAAAACACGAGGCGACTACGTATATATATTTATTGAGTCGTGGGAGCGTTCGGAGAGACATGAAGCATCTGGGAATCGGAGCAGCTCCCCGAAGCGCTGGCTCACTGCGCAGAAAAGGATCACCCGTCTGCTATGTGTGACTTGTCGTGTGTCAGGTCCCCGTCGCCTCGGCGGCGGCACCGCTCGCCGCTGCGGTACCGCTCGCCGCTGCGGTCGCCGGGCCCGCGGTCGCCGGGCCCGCGGTCGCCGGGCCCGCGGTCGCCGGGCCCGCGGTCGCCGCCGCGGTCGCCGCCGCGCTCGCCGCCGCGCTCCCCCCGCAGACCGGCGATGCGCTCGTCGGCCACGCGAGCCATATCTCCGCATCGGTGAGTCGGTTTCTTCGTTTCCTTATACGTACTCGGAGAGAAAACTCAGGAGTTAATTAAGAAAACGATACCTTTATAGTAATTAGTTGATTTTGTTGGCCACTTTATTTTACTTTACTTTATTTATTATCTGCTCTCATAACTCACGAACGACTTCAGATTTAGCATGGAATTAATTCTTGATATTAAAAAGAACATAGTTAAATATAAATTTAAAAATCTTAGCTACCGAAATATTGAATTGTAAAAAGGGACGCGTTATCAAATTACGTCACACAGTCATGGCGCGCCTCAAATTTACGTAAAATTTAAAAACTTTATTTAATAACTTATGGTAACTTTAAATTTAAATGAAATAATACGTATGTGTATGGCTATACAGTCATAAAGTTATAAATGATTTACTCATACTAAGATATTCTTCATTACAGAAATACATTGATATAAGACTGAAATACTTTGAAACCCATATTCAAAGTCAACTATTTATCCATTAGAACTAATTTCTGTATCTTAGATAAACTAAGATTGTATAAAAGTTATAGTGGTCATATATTATTTTGACTATACACCTAGATTTAGTCACAGTACAGTCTAGTTTGCCTAGTCTACGTGCTACATATTGTACTCGGAATTTGCTGTTAGACTCGTATTTTTTTCTAATAGGTAATGTTTCTTGTCATCAGATACTCTGGATTATACGAGGAACTGTTGTCGCCGCCCCGTCGTAGTGTTGAGCCGCCCTATGGACCCAGGTACGATTGTAAAAGTCTAAATAGTGTCTACACGCGCCCTTTTCTGTCACCTAAGAGAATGTGTCTATCAATTGACGTAACGAAATTGCCGAGCGGATTGAACCTGTGTTTGCGATTGAAGTGTTTCGAATTAAATCGGAAAATATTTTTACCGGTCACTTATTTTCTTAACAATGTTTATGTATAAGCTTCTAAGTATTACGATCTGTATATATTTGTTGAGAAATATTATCGAATGAGGTGTTAAATCAGAATCCAGATTATTGAGACTGGTAAGTATAAACAACAAAAAGTATCAACGGGCAGCTGTCATCGTGGATTTCTGCAAAGCTGTGCTGCCAATTACCTGTTATTTATGTATTTACATAATTATATGAAGATTTAAACTTAAGTTTCTGTACTTATATCTGTGAATTCATTGTTAAATCTATTGTTATTATTTATTATCCGTATTTTTATTATGTTAATAGATATTTTGATTGTATTTATTATTTTATACAGAATTATATGTGAGCTACTATGTTTTCAAATTAATATTTCTATTAAATATAATTTACAATTTTAACTTAGAAATATGAATAAAATACTACAATGAAGTTATTATTTACTTTTTTGGGAATGTTATAAATGAAAGTGTAATTTAGTATTTTGTTATATAAATATAACCATATTACCATCATACTTGGATGAATAATATGGTTTAAAATAATGTAGTCATCAGTTTCTTTGTAATTGTAGCTCCCATATATGTTACTGTTTTATATCAATATGGGATTTTTAAACACTAACACGAAAGAGTATTGTAAATATTAATATCTTTGTTCACAACAAATCGGGCAATGTACTCCCAACTTGATTAAAAATTACTATTCATAATGAAGACCAGCAAAGTTATTTATTGGCCAATTTATAAAAACTGTTCATATAAAACAAAAAATATTTTATCAAATATATATCAAATCTTGAAACACAGAACTATTCAGCGTACATGAATGTATTACTATTAATTATAAAATTACTTAATGTTTGAATAAAATTTTTAGACGTTTCCAATTACTTTTTTAGTATTATATTCCAAAATTTTAGTGTATATTTGTATAGGATTGCTATTTTAGTACTTTGCAAAAGTGTAAAAAAATATTTGGATCTGGAATTTTACAGATATAGTTCAATGTTTCTGTGTGAACGCTTTTAATAATATGATAATAATATATATCTGTGGCCATGATTCCTGTTTTGTATCATACTTGGCTCAAAAATTTCTCTTGCAATGTAGCGAGGAAATGCTGCGAGTGTTATGGGACCCATTGGGCCGGGTATGAGACAATTTATAATGTTTATATATTATTTATCTTCTATTATAATAATACATATCATGAGTCTGGTATCCAAACTATGCGATAGACCTGTATTTCGAACAATACACGTTTAATTAGTGTAGTGTAGTGTACAACAAAAGTTCATAATATATTTATGAAATTTTGTTGTTTTTATTGTAAAACACATTTTATTTTATATAAATTGTTAGGTATTGAGTAACTTGAATGTTTATATCATATTATATATCCAGTGTAGTGTGATGTTTTTAGAATACTAATAAGATGAAATTACAATGAGATTTTTTATCAACAGTATTGTATTGTAATATTACGGGTTTAAAAAAAGTATTAATGAAGAATTTATTTTGTCATTAGTGAAGGGTATAAAGCTTTAGCTGTTTGTAAAACAAAAAAACATACTGTATATAAAGCATTAGTTTTAATGTATATAAAAGAAAGAAAGAAGTAATTATCTAATTAAAACAATTTATTAAAAATGTAACTATAGAAATATTCACATAATGTAATGTAATGTATTTTATATCTCGAATATATTCTTAAAATAATCTTTCATAGCAATTTATAAAACTTTAATTAAAACTACTAAATTACGCAAGTACCTATTTTTATATTACTTGTTACGGTTAAAAAACTGTCATTTTTATTTTATATAGCTATTATATTTACTCTACTGTACATAATATTAACTGAAGAACTGTGATATTATGATATTAATTGTACACATGTAATTCGCAAAATAGGAAATAGTGGATTATATGTATTTTAGTTTTTAATTAGATGTGGTCTTTCATTGATAATGATTTTTAGTCATTTATCCATTATAAATAAAGTTTATTAGACCATAATTTTCAGTATTTATTAGGACATATTTACACATATAATATTATTAATTTCATTTAAAATTATTTTCATTGCCTTCTTAGGAAAGAACTATTGTAGTTGCCTTACTAGTACAGTCATTTGGTGCTAAAAAATGAAGTTACCTGGAAAGTTTTCCGGGAGTTCTGAAAATTGGTAATTTTATAGATTTCAACGGCGTCTAAAAATATTGATTCGACAAAAAAAGGTTATTACAGAAATTATAGGAAATTTTCTCTAGTTTAATTTATTATATAACTATTTTGATCGCAAAATGAGTCGGAAAGGAGATATTGTCAAAAAACTGTTTTTGACGCCATTTTTCCAATATGGCGGCGCGAGCGGCAAAGATACGAGGTGCTAAAGTTGAAATTTGCAAAAAGTACATCGAAATCTATAAGACTACAAATTTTCAAAACTCCCGGAAAACTTTCCAGGTAAAACTACCAAATGATTGTACTATACATGCTTCATCGGAATTCATCTTAAATCGCTTGATGCATTTATTTAATTTCAACTCTCTGAAAGTTATTTAGCACGAAATACAAATAAATAAAATGCGAGTGAGAGTGCCACCCTGAAGGTTATACTGCTCTGATTACAATTGCAGTTAGAAGCATGTATAAACAGGCCATATTCAGTTCAAAACAAATAGGTGATTTTATAAAGTTTTTAGTGAAAAATATAGAATATATATATTTAAATTTAGGTGAATTCTTTCGATGAGTAAATATGTACAGATGTGGATTGGTAACCTGTGTTACAAAAGGTATCATTTTCAAGGTGTCATTCAAAGTATTGTACGAAATTAACCCAAAAGTAAATAGTAAAAAATGATCATAGGCGCTTCTTTGATAAAGATGTCAGATCCTATAGTCAAATCAATTGTAAACACTAATTGGACACGATTCTAAATATTTTCTTTTTATTGACTATTGATATTTCTAGTGGCACTTTGATAAATATATTGCACTATATAATATATAAATATGTTAATTAATTACCTATTTGATATTTGGTTTTATTGTTAATACATTATACCAACATTGGTTATAAAGAAACTTTGAATATCTTCAATTGTGTTTTTATGTTAGTTTAGTTTACAATTTGGTATTTGTTTTATTGAATATAATTTTTATATAACCGATAATAAAATTTATTAAAATTTTATTATTTTTTCTACAAAATGATGATAGTCATAGTCCAGTTTGGTTGTTTGGTATGTATTATTATGGTATTTATATTTATATTAAAATATTTCATCAGTTTAGACTTTCCTAATATTGTACAATTTGCGTCATAATTATAAATAATGGATTGTAATAAATTTTAAAGAAACAAACGTAATATACGTTTGTGTATTGTGTATGTTTGTAATATTCGTTTTGTATAACTAATATTGATTTATCGATATAATTGGCAGATAATTTTTCATCTCTTACGTTTGGTAAGCTAATTATATAAATAGCTGTCTGAACCAGTTCGCTTTCATGTTCATATTTTTTTTATGGGGATTATGGGCTCTTGTCAGGTGCTATGCCATGTAACACATATGCGACCTGCATAGATCTATTGTGCTCGCCCTTTTTCAAAGCTCAAAGGGACAAGAATTAAAGGATATTCATAGGAGCGATGGTTTTTATCTCCTCAGGATAAATAATACTTTACAAAGGAGATATTTCGTTTATGCATTTGTGGTTATACCATATATGTTAGTATGTGTAGTGGCGTTTTCTCATCTGCTTAGCAAAATCTGTAGATTGTTGTTAAGGCCTAATTTTCTCATGCGTTTATTCAATTGCAGTGTCGGTTGTTGTCGGTGTTGGTTATTATTTTGAGATGTCCCCATTTTAGGCAACGAGTCACATCACAGAGGGGCTTGGGCCCTGTTAGACAGTTTTTGTCCCTCACATTGCCAGTTGGTCAGTATTTTCATTGTCTTCAATGTTTGAGTGCCCCGGGATCCCTCTTAGTATAATATTTTTTCTGCTGCGTTTAGTAGTAGGATACAGTTTCCAATGAGTTTAGATCGGATTTCGTATGAGTGAAGTGTTAGAAGCACATTCTGGCTGATGTAGTTAAGGCTTATAGTCGTATTTTTAATTAGACGAAGTCAACTGACGTTTACTGTGTTGTCAGTATTTGATGAAATAAAAATAGTGTTGCGACAAAGTGAATAATTGAAAAAACTTCTGAATTAATGGAATTGCCTCGATTGTCTAGTCTAGTGAATAGTTAGTGTGCCGAACTGCCGATACGGCTAAAATTCGAACTCTGTACCCGAGTTCGAATTTTAGACGTGCTTTATACATACCAACGAGTTTTCAACGAATATGTTCCTATAGTATCTACCTATACTGAATACGGAATATTTTAAACAAAGAAATAAAAATTGCGAGGAAACTTTTAAGACTGTCCTATTTACAATACATCATATAGTTGAAACTATAGATGTATAAAATATAACAATATATAACATAATATAGTTAGGTAAAATAAAAACTTCGCTTATTACAAAATTTGTTTTTATTCATCATCAGATAAAAAAATCATTGTCGCTTGCATTGACATTAATTATAAATCTGTCTGAAAAATTGACAATAATTTATCTTTGAAACAGTGTTTCGGTCCACGTTTCTCCGGAGACTTAAATTGTTCATTTTCTTTGTATTCTTTTAATATATTGTAGACTGAGGTCATACTAATTCCCAAAATGTCAGCAGTTTTCGAAATACATTCTTTTTTTTCAGGAGCCTCAATAGGTAATAGTGAAGCAGCTTTCTCCTCAAATACGTTTGTGGA